CGATCACGACTCCGAAGGGATTGTATGACTTCTGTAGATTGCCGTTTGGACTTAGCGTGTCGGCTCCAATTTTTCAACGAACGATGGCGGCAGTTTTTCAAGGACTATAGGGAGTATTTTACTACATGGATGACGTATTAGTGATAGGAAAGACTCCCGAGCAACACGAACGAAGATTGGAGGAGGTGTTCAAAAGGATCAAAGATAAAGGATTGCGGGCAAGCGTTGAAAAAAGTGTGCTGGGAGTTTCAAAAATCGTATATTTGGGGCATAAAATCAATGGGAAAGAGGTCAGACCTTTAGACAAAAATATGGCAAATATAACAAGCATGTTGAAGCCTAATAATAAAGTGGAAGTACAAGCTTTCTTGGGAATGGTGAATTATTATCACCGTTTTGTGGAAGGCTTCGCGCAGATAGCGGCGCCGTTGTATAAATTGTTAAAGATAGGAGAAAGATTTGAATGGAAGATTGAACAGGAGGAGGCTTTTGAGGAGTTGAAATTGAGGATTGGAAGGGAACCAGTACTAGTGTGTTTTGATAACGATGTGCCAGTGATATTGGCCGTTGACGCTTCGAATAGGGGTGTGGGTGGAGCGCTATTACATTGTATAGACGAATTGGAGAGACCTATTTTATTTTTCTCAAGAATCTTTAGAGAGGCCGAGACAAGATATTCAGTGATCGAGCAAGAAGCGCTAGCAGTTATATTTGGATTGACTAAATGTCGGAAATACTTGATCGGACGTCGATTTGTCATATATACGGATCACAAGCCCTTGGTTCATCTTTTCAGGAAGGACAAAAAGGAGCTCATGTTGTCGCCTAGGTTGCAGCGAAGGCTATTGCTGGTAGGCAGTTTCGACGTGCAAGTGAAATACCGACGAGGAAGAGAAAATTACTTACCGGATATTCTTTCTAGATGTGGAGCGGGAGAGGATTGCGAAACGAGTAGGTCGAAAGATATGTAAGAAGAGGATGAGCACGGGTTGATTAGAGCGATAGTCGGAATATCTAAAGGAGGACCAGTTGCATGGGAACAACTCAAAAATGCTACTTTAAAAGATCGCGAGTTGACGAGAATCAAAGCGTGCATATTGGGTCGGAAGCAATGGCGAGATGGGGACAAAAAGTTCAAGCAAGTGGAGAAAGAGCTAACGATAGTGGACGAGTGTGTGGTACGAGGAAGTCGGGGAGTGGTGCCGTCCAGATTACGGGAGGCAGTAAAGGCAATGATCCATCCTGGACATCAGGGTATGGAACGAATGAAACAATGGGGGCGGGAATACGTATGGTGGCCTGGCATGAATAAAGAAATCGAGAATATGGTGAGAAGTTGTGAAATGTGTAATTCATGGGCAAGTATGCCTCGAAAGGACAAGAAAGGTATTTGGCCTAGGGCTACTCAACCATGGGAAAGAGTGCACTTAGACTTTTTCGACTTCGAAAATAAAATATATCTCCTCGTGGTGGACGCTTACTCAAAATGGGTAGAGTATCAAGAAGTAAAGGGGTTAACAACGCAAGTAGTAATTAAGACATTAAAAGATCTTTGGGCAAAATTTGGGGTAGCGAAAATAGTCGTGTCGGATGGAGGACCCGCTTTCATAAGTAAACAATTTAAAGTGTTTTGTACTGAAACTGGGGCGAGACACATTTTGGCGCCTCCTTACCACCCAAGCTCAAATGGGCAGGCGGAAAGGATGGTGGCGGTGGTGAAAAGTTGGTTGAGGAAGTCGAAATATGGGGGTGGAGAGATTTGGATAGCGATTGCATATTATAACAATAGTCGAAAGGGAGAGGAATTGTCCCCAGCAGAAAAGTTTTTGGGCCGTAGAACTCGTATTCAGTTGGATTTCTGAAGTCCCAAACCGGCGCAGGAGGAAAATTCAATGGATAATCAGTGTGAATTTGTGAATGGTCAGACCATATGGGCGAGAATTTTTGGAGGTACCCGAAAATGGGAGTCAGGAATAATTATACAGAACATGGGGCATAAAATGGTGAGAGTAAAATTCGTTGACGGAAAGGAAGGAGTTAGACACGTAGAACAGATACGGAAGAGAGTAGAGTCTGAAAGATTGAGATCCAGCCATGATGCGGCGAGGAGAGAGGGATAGATATCTTAGCAATTCTCGAGTTAAAGCACATAGAAAATAATAATACTAATAATGATAATTAACCCAAGATGGTAATACCTCCGCAGTTCCGAGATTAAATTAATTTAAAAAAAAATAATCGATAATGATAATTAACCCAAGTTAGTAATACCTCCGCAATTCCGGAATTACATCACATTAATAAAAAAACAAAATAAATATTAATTAACCCGAGATAGTAATACCTCCGCAATTACGGGATTAAATCACATTTAATAAAAAAAAGGGGATCAATAATAATAATGGTAACCGGTGCTAATAATGTTGGAGGTTAAGTATATATATATATATAAAAAAAAAAAACTTTCGTGATTCTCGAGTTAAAGCACATAGAAAATAATAATACTAATAATGATAATTAACCCAAGATGGTAATACCTCCGCAGTTCCGAGATTAAATCAAATTTAATTTAAAAAAAAAATCGATAATGATAATTAACCCAAGATATTAATACCTCCGCAATTACGGGATTACATCACATTTAATAAAAAATAAAATAAATATCAATGATATCAGTTATCAATGATTTCGTGATTCGGGGAATAAAGCGAGTATTTTTTTTTTTTTTAAAAAGGGGGAACTTAGTTAGAGTGCCAATAAATAATGCACAAAAAGTTAAAAATGTTGGGTATGTTAACCAAAGTAATAAATTAAAGTAAGGGATAATTTTGGGAGATGTCGGGATCGTAAATCAAAAGTTGGAAATAGAACTTGTATATAGTTGGAGAATAGAATAAAAAGGAGTGACAATTGGACTAGAAAACAAATAAAAAATGGTTCCAAGTTGGACTGAAACACGGAAAAGATTTCGGCAATGACAGTTGGAAGCGAGACACAAAACAAGGAAGGTTCCAATAATTGGGCTTTAAAAGGGGAATTTTATAAATGCAAAATTATATTTTTTTTTTGTATAATTGTTAATTTTGTTAAAGAAAATTTTCCTGTATTTATTCATTTTGACCCAAAAGAAAAGTGAGTGAAAACTGTTATTAATTTTTTTTATATTATACCTTTTTCTTAAAAAAGAATGTCGGGGAGGCATCGGTGTATATATTGGGAGAATTTAACCATTAGAATAAGTATTTACCGAGGATATGTTAATGAGGATGGGCGACCAATCTCGCCTTCGATTTACCGAGACATAATATACCATTCGCCTCCAATACGCCGGAGCAGTAGATCGCCCCCGGTCCAAAGGGGAGTGTCCGGAATAATAACGAATAATTTAGATCACTCTGAATTACCGGAGCCCCGGCACCTCAGCATGCGCTCGAGGAGGAGACGTTCTTGTTACTTGTGTGGCTCGCCTAGTCATTTGCGAATGCGGTGCCCCCGTGGGCCAAATCGTAGGCAAGACTCCAGTTAGGACCATTTTGCCGCCTTTGACGATAGGGGCAATGCCGCAACAAGATCAATCCATAACTGCGATGGGGCGACCGGTGGTGATTATTGAGCCGTTTCGAGAAGAAACGCCGGAGGCGAGTCCCAGGGCCTATTACGCTGAAGAGTGGCCGATGGTTGATTTGTCGGCCTCTGAGATTCAGGAATTGTTGGAGGATGTAATGGGACCAGAATAAATTTTACAAATTTTGTAATAATAAAACAATTTTTTTTTAAATATCATTTTCCTTAATAGATTTTCGGGAATAATTAAAATACGATATTAATATATGTAGATTTTATGTACAAGACCCCCCTGTTTGTCTTTGTTAAACAACAATTTTAATTTTTTTTTGTATGTTCAAGGGTTTTCATTTAATGGGGGCGTGTTATAAATAGTTTTATTTTTTTTGTATGAGTCATGAAATATTTTTTTTTTGTTTGGAATTTTATTTTTAATATTTTTTTTTTTTTAGTTTCGCGCAGTCATCATGAACATTATTATATAAATATTTTTATTATTTATTATGTAAAAAATAATTTAATATTTATAAAAAAATAATCATATATAAACTAAAAAAAAAGTGGAAATCGATTATTATTATTATAATTATATTTTTTTTTATATTGTTTTTTTTTAAAATCCTTCTTTTCTTTAAAAAAAAAATAAAGACGAGATATTAATCCTTATTGTGAAATTAATAAAAAAAAAGGTAAAAAAAAATAAAGACTTTGCGTTTTGAAATAATAAGAACTGCTAAGTTAAACGTTTCTGTGCAGTGAAACTTTGAAAGACGGTAGGAAAAATCAACTGCTCATTTACAGTAAATGATTCAAATAAAATCGTTTGGAATAAATTTAATTGAAAATATGATAGATTCGATGCCCAAATTACTCGAAATTACTCAAAATCAATGTTGAAGTCTACTTATTTAATCTTTTTGATTACTTAACTAATAAAAATAATAATGCTTTTCAAATGCTTCTCTTGGAGTAAGCTTGGCACTTCGTCACCATCACATAGTGTGTCTATCAATATTAATAATCTAAGTTAAATTAATTATTAAAATAAATATTTGAGTAACAGATGTCACACGTTAAGTAAAATTTATGACTTGTTTTTTTAATTGTAAAAAAATGAAATAATAAATTTAATACAGATTAAATATTTTTTACTTTGATTTCAAAATGAAAATAATTAATGTTACTATTTTTTTTCCAATTAACTGGATACATAGTAGAAGTATCTAAAATAATGATTCATATATATAGCCAGTCAGATATTTATTTCATTATTTAGTATAAACATATTTAAAAATTATACCGGTATTGAATTATATATAAATTGATATACCCTAATATTTCTACTTTTATAAAGACTTAAATATAAATAGGAATTAAGTTACATGATAAGAAGTATTGTAAAATAGATTATAACTTTAAATTTGAAATAAAATATAATTATTTAGGTCTAATTTGTGAAAACATTTGATTTGTTTCCTTTTTTTTGTAGAAATGAGGTAAAGATGTCATTTTTTAATATATATACCTATATTTAATTATCAGTAATTTAAGATTACAAAAACGGCTTGCGTCAAATATATTAAAATGTGGCAAGCGAAAAGTTTGGTTAGATCCCAATGAAGTTAATGAAATAGCGAATGCTAACTCAAGTTTCAATCAATATAATTTATTTTTATGATAATATATTAAAGGACAAAATATTAGAAAATTAGTAAAAGATGGTTTAATAATAAAAAGACCAGAGGCGATTCATTCAAGAGCTAGAGTGAGAAAAAATATAATTGCCAGAAAAAAAGGACGACATACGGGCCCTGGTAAAAGAAAAGGAACTGCTAATGCAAGAATGCCTGAAAAGGTTTTGTGGATGAGGCGTATTCGAGTATTAAGAAGACTTTTAAAGAAATATCGCGAAGCTAAAAAGATTGATAGACATTTGTATATTAGATTCATTTTTTTGTAATTATACATTTTAAAAATAGGTATCATGCACTTTATATGAAATGTAAAGGTAATGTATTTAAAAATAAACGTACCCTTATGGAATATATACACAAGAAAAAGGCAGAAAATACTAGAGCTAAACAAATAAGGTACTTTATTAAAATTTTAATGATGATTATTATAATAATTTTAGTGATCAAGCTGAAGCAAGAAGAACTAAAGTTAAGGAATCAAGAAAGAGAAGGGAAGAACGAGTACTCACCAAAAAACAGGATTTACTAAAATCAATTGAAAAAGAAGAAGAAATTAAAAAATAGTATAATAAATGAAATATTCATGACATATGTCAATATGATAAATATATAATAAATTATAATTATTGTTCCTATCTTTAATCAAAGATTAAGCATATTTTAAGAATTTACCACTATATGGTAATTCAAATTTATAAACATTTTCATTTAAAGTGAACTCATTGTTATTTTATTCTTACTCATTCAAAGACTTAAAATTATTTTGGCTAACTATTTTGTATTCAACCCCCCCCCCCCCCTACCACCCTTCAAATTATAAGTTTGAAGTATTTTCTTGAGATATGCTAAATTGTGGTTTACTGTACTAATATTAATCATAATGAAAATAAGATTTATTTTTAATATAGAAATTTTATCATACTTTCTTTACTAACTCCCCTTCAATATATTTTTGTTGGATTTTGAATAACTACTAAATTATCACTAGTATTCAAGATGATTAATTAATTAGTTTTTTTTAATGCTACCATTACTGAATTATATTACAACCAGTCCTAATCTTTAAAGTCTGATAAAAAGTTGACTTTATGAGGATGATAGTAATTATATCTGTTATTCTAATTCCTTTAGTGCTTTTTATTTATTTTAGTTCTATCCTGAATCTTAGAAGTTTTCTAATGTCTACTAAATATTTTTAAAAATTGAAGGTAGTATTATTTCCAAAATATGGTTTTTAATTATTATATACTAAATAAATTGGGCAAATATTGGAAAAATCAAAAAAATTTGTCAATAGGCCAAGTTTATAATATTATAAAATACCTTTCACAAAACTTGAAACTTCATAGAAAAAATATATACCATACTTTACTTAAATATTTCTGACTTGTTAATACATATTTCTAATACCCTCCTCCTTATACTTTGTTTGACCCTTGCTACCTACCATATTTTAAAGGAAATTTAAACAGTCAGATTTTATAAAAAGTTATCGCATGAATCTATAGCACACTTCTTGTAAGTTTACGACCTCATTTACGATTTTTAAAAAATAGCATACTTTTTACCCTATAACTAGAGTCAAATATTTCTCGCATCTATATCCTAAATCTAGAGGTTAGGTAATTTATTGGTCAAGCATTGCTCCTTCAACACTAATCGAAATGTGTCACCTTAGGGTGTAATGTCTACGAGTCAATCTCTGTGAAACAGTGAGTAGTGTTGTTAAATGGCTCGTTTTGAGCCGATTTTTAAAACGGCTAACTTAATATTTTGTCCAGAAAAATATTACGCAAGCCTCAAGATTTTGCTCATAGAAGGAACAAAGGTCTAGGCATATATTATCGAAATCTCGAGGCTTAGGCAATATTTTTCTGGCTAAAATATTGAGTTAGCCGTTTTAAAAAATTGGCTAAAAATGAGCCGTTTAACAACACTAACAGTGAGAAAGCAATTATTTCTATTTTAAAAATTTTTTTAATTTTAGAATGTGATATTTATAATTGTCCTTTAAATGTATTGCAAGGCCTGGCCCCACTCATTTATATTTTCAGGTTTAGCCTGTTTTTAAATGTCCAGGTTTATTTCAAAAAATTAAATAAAGAAAAACATGAAAAAAATTTTGGCTTGTATTTTAAAAAAATATACCCTATTCCGCATTTTACGGTAGATACTTTAACAAATGTAAAATATTTTAATATCTAATAAATTTTGAAACTATTCTAAAATGATAGATGAATTATATTTTATACCAAAAAAAAAGTAGTGAAAATATATAAAATTTATAATTTGATCTAAAAATAATGTTAATTTTTTTAAATATACCTGGTATATATTTTAAAACCAAATATTTTAAATCACCATCATTAACTAAATTAATAATGAATATAAGACCCCTGAAAATATAAAACCTGGGCCAGGTGGGAAAATATTTTTGAAAAAAAACTGGGCTGTGCAAATCGGTACCGTAATATATGATCTACATACCTAATTTTCTTTTCACTTAGCGAAATTATTAGATTTGTCTGTTATACCATTTTGTCCGCATTTTACGTACCTCAATATGTTGTAAATTAGTGCCTCTATAATTTATTGTTAGATAAACATTCTGTTGACCATTTCATGTTTGGTTAATTCACATTGTTGAGAAATATGGCCTTATTGCTCATAGCAAGAAATTTATCTAATAATCATATTAGGTCATACTTTTTATTCCTCTCATATTTTTTTTTCAATTTTTCTAAGACTTTTCTTTCTATTCTTATGTGGGATTATTTCTTTCCATAAATTCTTCCTATATAAAACATATAATAATTGGAATACATATTTGAAAGAAATTATCAACTAAAGGATCAAAAAATTTGTTTGGCTCATAATGTATACTAATTTTATTCAAATAAATGAAAATATTATAAATAATTAGTGTCTAAGAATTCTATTATAAAAGAATAATTTGTATCATTGACAAAATAACTGTAAATTTTAATCATAAAAACCAATCAATATATTCAAAAAGTGTCTTTGACATTTTCAATTTGTTTCTAGTCAGAATCATTGGTTCTTGGACATTGCTTTCTTTTCACTTTTTATTTTTTTATAGGGTTAATATTTATATTTATTTGTTTCTAATATATAAAAAAATACATTATTAAAATACTAAAATATATATTTGAGCCTAAATGTACATTAAAAAGGCAAATTTTGTTTAAAAAAATAAAATAAAATAGGCCAATAAGGGTATTTAAAAATGATACGTTTTATAAAAATAAATTATTATCAAGCTTTTTTACCATGAATCTTTGAATGTTTTAAAATCAAACTGGATTACTTCATCCATAACCTATTTTTTTTGTCCAAGAGGCTCCATCCATAATATATACTTTTAATATTTTATTTTCTCTTATTATGGCTCATGTTCGATTCCAGCATTTTCAATTACAATTGCCTTTATATTTTATTATTCTTTTCTAAGATGTCTCTGACAGTTGAGCGACTAATATTTAAAATTTATAAGTGTTTCTACTGAAGATTCCTTTCATATAATGTTGAATTAGGCCTAAAACGAATTATTCGATTTGTATTACTAATACAAATAGCACAATTATACTATTCAAATTGGGCTATCTTATGTATTTTGTAAATTCATATACAATATTTATTTTCTGATCTATAATGATTTTGACAAAAAACTTAAATAAAAACAACATGCAAAAAGGTAGCCTAATATTTTTTTGTCGCAACAGTGATGTCCAAACATTTTTGAAATAGGCGACTTTCTTAAAAAAATATGTAAACTAATCACTACCAGAATATCAAAATTTACTAAATTTTGCATTTATATATAAAAATATTATTTTGAAAAATTTTGCGCATGAAAATAAAAAATGGTTGATCGAACATTAGTGACATAATGTAGTGTTAATGGTCATTATTTCAAAAAATTATTCACTTTTACTTATTTTGTATTTTAAATTACTAGTTACAATGAAATATTGTACATATTTTTAGGGAAAGCGATGTTTGGAGATATTATTCGCTTAAAATGCATTTTTCAAAATTTACTACCCCCCCCCCCCCAGCCACACCTGTTAATTTTATAGAGTTTGAAAACAATCTTCAAAATATTTTTGATTAAATTTTATCTAAAAAAAGGTCAAAATTTGTTTTAAAAATCTTAGTAAATACTTGTTAATTTTCATGTAATATTGTTAAGTGGCCGGATTAGGGTCGTTTTTTAAAAATGGTTCGATTTGGATCGTAAATACGGCCCAATTAAAATTTGAGCCAAAATAATATTACCTGAGCCTCGAGATTTTTCTAATAGAGATTCAAAACTTTCTACCACCTATGAGCAAAATATCCAGGCTTACATTATATTATCACAGCTAGTGTTGTTCGACTCAATTTGAGCCGATTTTTAAAAACGGCTAACTCAATATTTTAGCCAGAAAAATATTGTCTAAGCTTCGAGATTTCGTTAATAGATGTTCGAACCTTTGTGCCACTTATGAGCAAAATCTTCAGGCTTGCGTAATATTCTGGATAAAAGATTAAGTTAGCCGTTTTTAAAAATCGGCTCAAATTGAGACGTTTAACTACACTAATCAGAGCTATTAATCAGGCTATTTTTAAAAATCGGACCGTTTAACAATATTAAAGAAAAATTGCAAAATATTTACTTAAAAAATATTTTTAAAACATTTCGATTTTGAAAAATGCAATTTTTAGCAATAAAAGCCCACACTCCTTTCCCTAAAAATGCATACAATATTTTATTATAATCAGTCATTTAAATTAGTAAAAGGGTGTATAAATTTTTGGACTGTTTAACAACACTATTTTCATATGCATAAAAAAATTTCTAGGGTGAAAAAAATTGTTGCTTAAAAGCTTCAAAATTTTTTTGATTATGTTTTTAAATCTCTTGATTTTGAACTAATAAAGGAATAAATAACATAAATTAATTACAAACACTAAATAAATTGTTTTAATAATTATAGTTAGGCCTACAACAACCAATTTCTAAGACTAATATGTATGTCATCACAGATAACTAGTTTGCCAGCTATGAACTTGCTAAACATTTATCATTGTTAAATTCCCATTCATTAACTATAGTAGGAACCTTAAGAAAAAATAAAAAGCAGATTCCAAAATCATTTAATTTTAAAAAGAAAGATAAGCTTATTTGCCTTTCAAGATAATATGACATTATTACACATACCAAAAAAGTATAAGCATGTTATGCTTTCTACCGTTCACTAAGGATTTTTTTTTGAGCAACTTTAGTAAAAATATCATAACTTTATTTAGAAATAAATCGAAATATAGACTTTTGTATTTATTATCTCTAATAATTTTACAATAATTGAGTAAAATTTTGGTCTTAAATTTTATTATTATCTGAGATATAGCTATTTAAAATTTGGGGTAAAACAGAAACTATTGTAGTTTTTTCCACCTGAATAGTGAAGGGTTAAATTAATCTTTTCTTATTTTGACAATTTTATATTAATTTTGTAGTTGTCCATTTTGAAATTTACTACCCAAAAAATTATAACTTAAAATTTTAGCTCTTAGAAAATTATATTTCTTTTTCACAAATATATAAATAAAATTAATTTAAATAATTTAATTTGTTGGGGCATCAAGCAAAATATAACATGATTTATAAGAGGAAAAAAATGAAATGAAATCCACTAGGAAAATTTAATTTATTATTTACTTACGATTTACGAATATTAAAGAAAAAATAAAATATTTAAGAAAAATTATGAATATTAACGAATATTTATAAATAATTTAGAATAATACGAATAATTTCGAATAACACGAATAATTTCGAATCGAATAATTGTGATATTCGTATTCGTAAAATACGAATCGAATAAAATCGAATTTCGAATAACAAATAATTCGTTTTAGGCGTAATCATAGTTTCAATAAAATACAATATGTTTATTCAGTTTCAACTTAAAATCATTTTTTGAGGGGAATTTAATGCAGAAATATGATCTAGTTAGAAATGTATTCTAGTATATGTATAAAATCTACCTTGTGATTTTTAGGAAATTTCGCTAGGAATATTTAAATTTTATATAATTTATATTAGTTTTTACATAGTCTTTTTATATAAAATTATAAATGACCCAAAATTTAACGATAAAATTGTCTAAAATTTATAGGATTCTTAAACATGCTAGAATCCATTTCCGGTAAAATCCGATCTTAAAATTTAAAAAACATGTTTACAAAAAATATTTAAAGTATGAAATTGAAAGGGAAAGTATATTGACGATAACATATATTTCGTTATGCAAGTTTTACATCGACTGCTTATATTTTAAATCAAGACAAAAAAGATATATATTTAATATTATTCTTAAAAGTTAACTTTTATTTAATTATAAATGTAAAATACTATATTATAATAAACAGAGAGAGCCTTCATTCTAGCAAAGAAAAATAAAAAATTTAAAATGTATAACAAATATTAATACTTAACTGCATTTACAAGTTGCACAACCGTACTCATCCGTTTTAAATCCCCTTTTGCATTTATTTGAGCATCTAGGCCAGCCGCAAACTAAAGAAATTAGGAAATATTTAAAAGAAATTTCTTTATTGTAAATTAAAAAAAGATGGTGACAAAAGTTAGATTTTTTTAGGTTCTGGTTGGTTTTTGAATCTATTCGAACCTTAGACAGAGGTTGAAAGAAAATGGTTTTACCAAACGGTCGACACAAGTGTATGCGAAAAAAAAATATTCAATATATTATCATTTTAACTAAATTACTTTATTAAAAATAATCAATTATCTTTTCTGAGAAATAAGCGTTCGGTTTTAAAACATTTAAATGATAAAATATGCTACATTTTCTTTGGATAAAGAAAGAAAATGCCTAAAAGTATTGATTAGTTTTAAGATTTTAATCCAATATACCACAGTCACAGGTTTGACAACCTTGCTCATCAAATTGGTAGCCGTTAGGACAGGCCTTGCATTTTACTAGAGGGCATTCTATAATTGTCAATATAAATTTATTATCAATTCAATCGGTAGACATAAAATAACAGTTTTAACAAATAATAAAATAATTCTTTTATATAAAAATATTTTCGCTTACTGCAATTACAAGTCGCACAACCGTACTTATCCATCTCAAATCCGTTTTTGCATTTTTTAAGGACACAAGGGGGTGGGAAACAAACTAAAAATATATATATAAGAAATATTTCTTATCAAATATTATGAATTGTATAATTTAAAAAATAATATTTATTCGGTTTCTCAAACAATTAAAAAAATGTTATATAATTTTAATTAAATATAAAAATGGGTGAGAAATATGGTTGGGTCAATGTTCTATTTCTAATTGACTAAAAAAATGTCTGAACCAACTTTTTGTCCAAAGATATCATTTTAGCCTCCATTATTATTATTTGAAGGGTAATTTTAAAGAAATCAAAAATAAATTAACTCTCAGTGAGTAAGTGATTTTTTTCTTAAGCATAGCCATTACTCAATTATAATAGAAAAAAAAACAAATCTAATATTAATTTTATAATATGAATATAATCAAATATACCGCAATCACATGTTGGGCAACCTTGTTCGTCATATTTGTAACCATTGGGACACACCTTGCATTTTCTTAGAGGGCATCCTACACGTTTTATATCGCGAATACATTTAAAATTATTATCTTTAAATCATATACAAATCGCAATAAATCAATCAATTAAGCTCTACTAGAAAAAGAATATTTTGCAAAAAAATACAAATTAATAAGAAAATTGTAAATATATCAATAATGGTTCCTTAACTGCATTTACAAGTTGCGCAACCATACTTATCCGTTTCATACCCATATGTGCATTTGTTGAAGCACCTAGGTGCGCTGCAAACTAGTAGATGGATTAAATTAGTTATACTATTTATCAAATATTAAAATATTTCCATAAATTATCTCATTTTTGTAAAATTATTTTAGTCATAAAATTTTTTCTATATATAAAAAGTTGTCAAAATATATATTACATATTTATAAAATTTCTAGTTTATTACAATTGAAATTGAAAGGAAAAAATCAACAAGAAAACATTTTTACAAATTAAGAGACTTAATTTTACCGCAGTTGCAAGTCTCACATCCATTTTCATCCAATTGGTAGTCAAGTGGACAAAAAGAGCAATTTAGTTTTATTTTAGGACAATCTTGTTGAAGAACGATAGAAATTATATACGTATAATTAATTAAAACAATCCAAATTGACACAAATTTGAATATATACAGAAACAAAATTGTATCATTATCATTCCACAGCAATAAAAGCTCTTTATAGATCATTTTGATTCTTATTCAATATACCAGAAAATAAATGCGCTTGAAAGAGCGCTAAAGGAATCAATTAGATTTTTATTAACAGGTTGTCAATTAAATTCTTATTAATAGATCAGGATAGGGGGAGGGACAAACTAAAAATATATGTATATGAAATATTTCTTATTAAATATTACAAATTGTATAAATATTTTTAATAAATAAATATATATATTCGTTTCTAAAACGCAATGATTAATAAAATGTTTATTGGATATAAAAAAAAGGAGAGAAATATAGTTGGGTAATTGCTCTAAATTAACTAAAAAAAATGGCGAAACATACCTTTTCTAAAGATATAATTTTAGTCTCCATTTTCTTTATTGGGGGAAGGGGGGGGGGGTGATATAATTATAGTTTGAAGAAATCATAAATAAAATATCTGGTCCTAAATGCGAACTGATTGGTTTTTTAGCAAACGCCTGGAGACTAAGGATGATTGGGCAATTTTTAGCCATTACCCAATTATAATAAAATTAAAAATCTATATTAATTTTTAGAATATAATCAAATATACCGCAATCACATGTTTGGCAACCTTGTTCATCAAATTTGTAACCATTAGGACACACCTTGCATTTCCTTAAAGGACATCCTACACGTTTTATATCGCGAATATAAATTATTATCAGTTAAATCGTATACAAAAATGCGCCCAACAAGGAAAAATAATATTTTGCCAAAAAAAAATTAATAAAAAAAATTATATCAATGGTTGTTTAACTGCATTTACAAGTTGAGCAACCGTACTTATCCGTTTCATACCCATATGAGCATTTATTGAAGCACCTAGGTTTATTGCAACCTAGTAAATAGATAAAATTAGGCAAACTGTTTATCATTAAAAATTTTCAATAGATTAACTTAATTATATTCAGCCAAATTTATGCGAAATTATTTTAACCATAAAATTTTATCAATATAAAAAATAGTGGTCAAAAAATACATAATATATATTTATATCAATTTTCTGGTTATACAATTGAAATTGAAAGGAAAAAAAAATTAAAAACAAAATATTTTAAAAATTAAGAGAATTTAATTTTTACTGCAGTTGCAAGTCTCACATCCATTTTCATCCAATTGGTAACCAAGTGGACAAAAGGGGCATTTTAGTTTTATTTTAGTACAATCTTGTGAAAAACGATAAAAATTAAATATATATAATAATAATAATATCAATTTAAAATTGATACAAATTTGGTTATATACCGAAAAAAAATTTGAATCATTATCATCATAATAGAAAAGTATTCAATAATTTGAGATAAATTTATCAGTTATACAATAGTTTAAGGTAAAATATGTTGTAATATTCAGTTACAAAAAAATTTATTATTCAAATTGTGATGATATTCAAACAAAAATAATATGTTATTAAAATTATTACTTTATTATTTAAGTCTTAGACTATGCAAATGAGATGAAAACGCGTGATAATTGGAGATATTTCATACTTTAAGAGTTTAACAATTGAAGTTATTTACTTTTTATTTTTCGTTTATAAATTTCTTTTTTAATCTTTTTCTATTTTATTTTTTGTTACTTTTTCCATTATGTTAATTTACATTTATAATTAACAGAGTTTAATAAAGGGATTAGAATTTCATATTATGGTTTAATTTTATTTCTATTATATTTCCAGGCACTAATACTCAACTTATCACAAAATTAACAAAAATGAATAAATATTAGGAATAAGATGTAAGAATCAAATAATATAATTTTATACATTCTTAATTAGCAGCATTAATAAGAGAATAAGCAATATTTTTTAGCAGTATTAATAAAAAAAAATATAAATATATAACTGCATTTGCAGGTTCTACATCCATTTTCATCGATTTGATTTCCATTTGAGCACTCCTTGCATCTTAAATCATGACAATCTTGAAAGATATGTTTCATATATTAATATTCTTTTCTTTTAGAAATTGATATTTACAAAGTTATAGCTTAAAATTTCGGTTGTATAAATAATCCTAAAGGTGATTATAATTATCAAACTTCGAAAAGAATCGGTTAATAGTAGGTAGACCAATTTAATAGCGTTACTAGGTGTGGGGGGGGATGCACAGAGGCTCGTGCTCCCTATGAAGAGCCCCCTTAGTTTATTTTTAAAAAATACCTTAAAAAAAGTCATTTTGAAAATGTTAGCAAAAAAATCAGTTAATTTTAAAATATTTTTTGAGCCACCTAAGATTGTAAGGACTAAGTGACGTCACTAGGCCTATTCAAAAGAGAATACAAATCGAATATATAATTATTCGATTAGAAGAATGAAGATTACTATTTTTATATGCATTAATGAATGTTTTAGCTATCAACGGAGAATATGAAAGTGAAGGAAGGAAGAAAGAAAGAGAGAAAGAAGGAAAGAAAGAGAATTGGAAGAGGCTATGACGTGAGTGCCAAATGAATTTAACATTGTAGCTATGATTGGTATGATTAAATGGTTGGAAGGTAACTTAAAAAAATATTTGATAAATTTGATCACTTTCTGCGTTCATGGCATCATAATCTAGGTTAGAGAATTCGAGTGGATCCGCGCAAGAAAGGTCAGGTAAGGAACTCACCACTCTTCCATGAAGTCTTGGATGAATCTTAGACGTTTATCATTAGGGTTGTAAAGTTCAATCGAAAGTAAAAGAAATTCCAAAAATTCCCAGGCAAAATATAGTGTTATTTTGTCTTAGAAATCTGTCTCTACATCGTTTGCAAGGTATTAGAAGGAGGAAAAGATGAGGGTAACATAAATAAGAATGCTGATGTTGGGTAAAGGAAAAATATCATAATACGAGCAACGTAAAAGTATTGGGGGGGGGGCAGATTAAAAAAGTTTACATGATTAAAAGCTCTAAGAGAGATGTGTTGATGATTAGAGCGAAAAAAAGGCTAAAAATAGGATGGAATTAGAAAAGGCTACAGCCATATGACACGAGACATATGAGACTTTAATGAATTATACTAGAACCTACAAATAGAAGAAGACTGAAAATGTTTATTAGTTTGAAAAAACACAGTTTAAATATAGGAATGAGCATACTACAACGGCAGGTTCTACATCCATTTTCATCGATTTGATTGCCATTAGCGCATTCCTTGCATTCTAATAGAGGACAATCTTGTAAGATGTATAATTCATATAACTTTATTATTTATAGCTTAATTTATTACACAAAGTCTTATTATTATTATAAAATTCTCATGCCAATCGGTCAAAGATTAAAATGGTTTAAATTTTCTTAAATAATTTTAATAAAATACGATTATACTGCATCGGCAGGTCCTACACCAATTTGCATCAATTTGATTACCATATATGCAATCTTTGCAATCTAACTCCAAACATTCTATTGATAATTTATTTTATATTAATTTAAGAGTACAAATATTTAGCTTTAGAATTTGTTCGAATACAAAGAAAGCTATATTTAATATTTTCAAAGTGCTGAATATCTTATTATATGATAATTATCTTGCTTTTACACGAATCGAATGTAATAGGCTAATTTTAACATAATGAATTTTTAAAGTTGTAATTTTAGCAAAATATAAATTACTGCAACGGCAAGTTCTACATCCATTTTCATCGATTTGATAACCATTAGAACAGTACTTAGTACAATTTACCAAAGGAGGGCAATCTTGAAAGATTTTATTAAAAGAATAATTTTTTCTGAAAATTTATCTTATGATCTAATGTAAAAGAACAATCAAATAAACTCACCGCGTATTACAATGGATAGAATATCAAACTGTTTTATAATTATAATGTTTTATTTTAAATTATTGTGTGAGATATTCCAAACTTTGTACAACTTATTTTAGAGAAATAAAATATTTAGGAAGAATAGTCATATCCGCTTTATACCTAAGTCGCTATCAATCACTATGTCAATATAAATGCCTGTAGAGAATTTCTAATTCAAGCGTTAGCTTCAGGAAGAACATAATAGTTTACATGATTAAAATACGTAGATAGGGAACGAAAGAAAGAAAAAAAAGAATAATTAAATGTTTAAGATAAGAACGCAAAAAGGTTTAGTATAATAGATGGATTTGGGAAAGGCTTTAACCAGACGCATGACAGATGAGAATGGAGAAGTAAAATTCTAAGAATAGAAGAAATTCATTCTGACCGCTCAGAACAAAGATGACTGAAAATGTTTATTAGCCATATTTAAAAAAAAAACATAGTTTTAATAGAAATAAACAAACTACAACGGCAGGTTCTACATCCATTTTCATCGATTTGATTGCCATTAGCACACTCCTTGCATCTCAACAAAGGACAATCTTAAAAGAAGTATATATTTGATAAAGTTCACATTATAATTTATCCAACTCTCTTAAATAATCGAATAAATTGTTTTAATTTTATCACCGATAATGATTATTAGCTTTGAAATGCAATTTTCTTTAAAAAAACATTTAATAAAAATATGAATATTACTGCATTGGCAAGTTCTACATCCATTTTCATCGACTTCGTTACCATAAATGCATTCCTTACAACCCAACTGAAGGCATTCTTTAAAGATTTATTTTGTATTAATTTAAAAGTTGATTATAGCTTTCGAATTTGTTCGTATAAACAATGATGGCTCTATATAATATTTTTAAAATATTGGGACTGACTATATCTTAATATATATAATTATATAGCTTTTACATGAATAAAATAAATAGGCTATTTTTAATAAAAAAAAGCAATTTTAAAAAATTGTAATAGCAAGATATAAATTACTGCAGCGGCAAATTCTACATCCATTTTTATCGATTTGATGACCATTAGGACAGACCGTATGACATCTTATCAGAGGGCAATCTTGAAAGATTTTATTTAAAAGTTAATTTTTTTTTCTTTAAAGTTATACATATAGTGCTGATTATAATAATATGAACGTTATATTTATCTTATTATCTGCCACAAGTTAAAAGACCATTTAATGAATCATATAACCTATTCCATCTGGAATCATAAGGATAACATTGCAAACTGCTTTACAATATATATTTTTAATTTTCAGTGGATGTAGGTCAATGTGATACATCCCAAACTGCACATAATTTTAGATACATTACACATTTTAGGAAAAAAAGAATAATCTCCACCTTAATTAGCATTTGAAATTTCTATAATTGGAACTAAAAATAAATGTATACAAATGCATTTCTAAACTAAGCCCACATCTTCTAACTTTATTCATTAATTTTCTATAATCATTTTCAGGTTTGTATAGCCATTAGCTGGAAGAACTTACCATTTGAATAATATGATGTAAAACGATAAATTTTTAATAGATTAACTAAGTCGTCTAAACTAGAGACTTGCAGGTTCAATTATTTTCATACCAAACCCAAGAGGGGTGATGTAATATACACTTCAAATTATTACAGCGAGTAGTGATACATCCCCATAAGTTATACTCCTATAATTTTGATGCACCTTCCTCCTTGTCTACCTTGGTTATTGGGGTTGAAGTTTTAATTATAATTAAAAAAATATGGGAAACCAAAATAGCGTGTCACCAGTTGATTTGGAAAAAAAAATTGCATATAACTAAAATTTCAAATGTAGTTAAATTAGTATATTTTTGGAAATGGAATATAATTCATTAGATTATACTTAATTATTTTCATGATAATATATCGATGTCTCACTGAGATATTGATTCATATTTTCAGTTATATGAACTTCATACACATTAGAACCTGCAAAGTAATTTATTAGCGGGCCGAGCTCGCATTTTAAAAAATTTCGTGTCCGAGCCCATTCGAGATAAATTTTTTGTTCTAGTCCGTGTCCGACTAAAAAAAAATTGGAATTTGATTATAAATATCACATCTGATTTTCCATTTGTATTTTGCTTGTGTTCTAATCTTTTAAGAAATTATTTTAATTTGGATCCATTCTATAAACAATTTTATAAATGTAAAAATTTGAGGCTATTTAGTTGAAAAGATCTTTGATAAAACAAGAATTATCAAATAAAAGTATTTTATAACTGTTATAACAGGGAAAAAATATTATTATCTACATTATCAATACAACCAATTAAAATTTGAATAAAGATATCAATAACTGCAACGACAGAGTCTATATCCTTTTAAAAGATTTAATTCCCCCCTAACAGATTACACTATAGAAGAGGGCAATTTTTAAGATTTTCTTTAACATTTTATTTTTATTCTTCTTCAAAGTTGTGGCTTAATTTACATCTATTCATGTTGTGAAGGTTATATGAGAAATATAAATTTTTATTTATTTGTTTTGTGTAACCTGATATATAAAATATAGCTTCCCTCTTTTTGTACTTCCAACATTCTACAAATTTATATAATTTACTTCGTGTGTAAATATTTCGGGTACGAATCCAGGTTTTTTTCAAGGACAAAGTTAATTTTTGATTCGATAGAAAATTAATTAACTACACTCAAAATTAAACAATGTTTACTTTTATAACGGGGAAAAAAATTGATGAAAAATATAATGGTAAAATAAAAAAATCGTTTCTAGATTTAACACATATTAATACATTTCTGTAATTCAATATTATGATTTTTTAAAAAGGGTATGTTTGTCTTATTGGGTAAAAGAGAAAAAAACTGAGGGAAAATAAACCTTATCCTAAAAAAGATTTCATAGAAATAAAACTATATAATAAAGATACGGAAAAAAAATATCTTAAAAACAAAAAAACGGAAGAATAACTCTAAGAATTAAATCCTTCAGAAAGTTTATCGGTTAATATTTAGAAATAAATTAAAAAATAGTCATTATTAGGTTATATACCAATTCCGTAAAAATTTACCGCTAAAACTTTTATCGCGAATGTTAATTATAGCAAATTAAATTTATGGTGAAACCTTATCACAAATCTACTTGCTATTACTATTCCCCCATGAATAAAGCGCACAAATTTTTATAACGAAACCCTTACAGCGAACTCTATAGGGCGACATAACAGCATAACTTTTAAGAATTAATAATGGCGAAAATTTAAACGAAGTCATTATACCGGAACCCAAATCGTAATAAATATAACGATAACACAGTGAGAGTAATGCCGCGATAATTGCTAATAGTGACTACTTTATTTTGAAATATTTATTTTTTAAAACCAAATTAAAAAATTTTTTTAAAATAGATTGCTCAAAGATAGAACTATAAATTTCTTTTTTTAAAACCTAAATAAATTTATTTAATGATTTTTGAACTTTGAAATGGTTTGGAAGTTATTATAGTAACGATATTTTATGCTACCCCGCCTATGCTTTTTCATCAAGGTCTTATTATAGTAGAATAAAAATCACATCATTTTACGAATATTATCATTGGGTTTGTTAAATAGCCTTGATCTCTAGGGGAAGTAGAAAAATCCAGAAAGGATAGATTTATCTCAAACCCTTTTAAGGCATGGTAAATAAATTAGCACTAATTAAGTTTGAGTTACATTTGATTGTTTTATTTATATAACATATTTAGAAATATCAATTTTGAATTATTTTATTTATGTTGGACCCCCCCCCCTCCCCCCATTTATTGTGAGGATTATAAATAATTTAGATTTTATATGTAAAAATTCTTATTAAATAATTATTTCAAAACGAAATTAAAGATGACTAGTTAATTGTAAAAATATTACTCACAACATTACCAATGATTAGATTAAATACTTTTCAATCTTGATAAATATTGAGATATGGGGGCCTAAAAATGTATCTTGATACAAATATTTTTTTAAAAATAGAATCAAGATATATATTTTAATTATAATTAGGTAAAGTTTAAAAAAAATTTACTATGTTGATTGTTTTTCATCAGCATATCACTAATATTAATCACCTATAATGTACAATTATTCTATTATTACCACCATATTTACTATATTTTCTTAATTAATTGCGTTAAATAACGCTTACCTTGAAATGGAAAGAATCGAAAAATAATAAATTTAATATAAAATAGGTCTAATTTTTTAAGCATTCATTCTTCTCTTGGATGATATATACCCACCTTTTTTTAAATATATATATATATATTTTTTATAGTATCCATTTTAATATATATTTTTTAATCCTCTGTAAATTATATAATTTATTTTATAATATTTTTTTTAAAAATAATAAAAAAGTCGAATATCAAATAGTGATAAATTTTTTTTTAAATTGTAAGATAAAAAAATCGCAAAATAAAATTGCATCAATTTGTATCTAAAATTGTCACCGCTTAAAATGTCTAGATAAAGACATTTTATAAAAATGTTACTGCATAAGATTTTTTGTATCTAGAAACATAACCCTTCTGGCCGGTCCAAGAGTTTGTTTAGAAAACTCTGAGAAGCAAGCCAGATTTTTGCGCCTTAACCGAGATATATATTTCTGAACTACTAAGCCATTACAAAATGAGGATTCATTTTGAATATAACTAACCTTTTTTGCAAATTAAAAATATTTTTATAATTATATTTAATTTTTGAAAGTTAAAGAAAGAGAAAGAAAGGAAGAAATAAAGAATTAAACATATTTACTCCAATTTTTTAGGATCGTTAGGTTGTTCTGCTTGCCCAAGTAACTTGAAATAAAGGAACAGAAAATAAGAAATTTGATCATCATTGATTATAATTCAATTTCTTGCTTAAGAAATGAGAATTTTGAAATAATTCTCTGGATTTTTAGATAAAATTAATTATTTAAAAAATTATTTTAATATTTTGTTATAAAAATCAAAAAAAAAATTGATATGTTTTTTTTGTTGACAAAACCAGGATGTAAAAGATAAATAAATATAACCCGATAACATATCATAATACCAAAGGTTATAAGAAGATTTTTTTAAAATTTTTTTCCAAAACTCTAATGAAAGTAATTTCTATTCCTATCAATTATGTTACAGTTAGCGCTACGCTACATAAAGTGTAACGTTCTTGTAATTCTCCCATTTTAAAAATGTGACGAAGAGCTTTATGGTTACTTTATAAATAAAGCATTTTTTAAAAAAATAATATTAAATTAAAGGTTTTAAATAGAATGTTTTATTGGTTAAATAAAAAGAATCCAAAGAAGGGAATGAGATTTCTTCCTATTGCAAATTTCTATGGATAGGATTTAATGATTTATCTGTTTTCCTAAATCAAATTAACCATTAAAGTTTTTATATCCGCAGAGGAATACTACGATATTATTGCGGAAGACGATAAATAATGCTATATATAATCATGGACAAATAGGAGATTACAGCCTCTTGTACAAAATTTCTAAGCGGTTTCGGTTCCTCTTTTTTTGGTATTTTGAAAATGAATAAAATAAAAAATGATCAGAACTTTAACCAAATTTTATCACCCGAACCTTTAAAAATATCGGTGAACCAGTTTGAATCTTTCGATGAACTCTTTTAACGATTATAATAATAAATTTTTATTGATTGATTATAAGTATCAGTAACTATTTTTTATATATTTTTATATATTGCTAATTGACGGCAACTACCCGAGTTAACGTATAAAAGTGTTCTCAACCATAGTTTATTCTTTATCCTTATGGACATTATTTGACGGAATAAAATCTTGAAATATTTTAATTGGATATGGCTCAATATTATTTTTAAATGTTAACATTTTTTTCTCTACATAATTATAATAAGTTTGCATGTAAAGAGGTTAGAACCGGTTTTTAAAGTGCAAACCGAACCGATATTATGAATTTTAACAAACCGAAGTTTGATAAATCTTTATTTTTATCGGATACTGAACCGATATTCGTTGCGTTTGAATCCTTTAAAACATATAACTTTAAAAAAAAGAATAGTTTATCAATAAAACATGCTCCTCTATCTTCTTAAATTTAGCTTTCTAAATAGAAAATTATTGATTAAGTTTATGTTTGACGGAGTTATTTTGAGGTCTTATAACGATGCCTCTACTATTTGAAGAATTAAAATAAAATTGGTTTAAGGAGAGAACCTGATATTAATTGCAATTTTAACGAAATTATTTATTTTTTAAAAAAATATTGATATTTATAAAGATGTTTATAATTATAAAGTCAAGCACGAATCGACCTCGCCTGGGGAAACTTGGGGCTTACTTATTTAATCTTTTCACATTTTAACCAATATTGAGAGAAATTAGTTCAATAGATAAAAAGTTAAAGCGTTATGACCTGGTAAGTCAGCATCCCTTCCTTCTTTTTCCTCTCCTCTCCTCCCCTCTTTCTTTCTTGATGGAAATCATACTAACGCAAATACCGCTGATAATTGGATTCGAAGCCTTTACATCTATCTAGAAAAATATCTATTTAAGTATCCACCGACGAGAATCTCTCCAATGGGCCATCGCGTATCGGGCTTTGCGAGAGAGATGGGACATCCTATTCAGTGCTCCTCACGATCAAGATGCCGACAATCTAAACGAGGTCTCCACGACGGTTTTACTATAAGCCAAGTAAGCCAAGCTACCCAGTCATTACTTTCCTAGTTGTCCAGTCTATAATCTCAATCTGTGACGACTTACCATATGAATTCCGAAAATTATCCCAAGACAACAAATGCATGGAACGATTCGTCCCCGCAATATTTACTATAAATAATATACGCATATCTAATATATATAATCATCGTAATCAAGAATGAACGTTTTCGTATAACCTTAATGTTAATTTTTATTTTTGGTATCAACTTTCCTATCATCTTAATGTTAATATTTATTTTTGGTATCAACTTTCTTATCATCTTAATGTTATATAAATCGAAGGAGACTATATACCTTTAATGTTAAATTTTTTTTTTAAAAAAAAGAAAACTAAATTATGTAATACAATTCTTCTTATAATGAAATTATATTATGCTAAAGTAATTTAAATATATCAATATTTATCTTTTTTATTGGAAGTTCCAGGCTTAGGAAAACAATTTCAAAATTATTATAGGTTGGCAATGTTTGAGAAATTTTTTTTAAAATTAGGGACGGGCTGGGCTTGCAAAATATTTTTATAAATTATATTGGGCTTTGGGAAAATTTTCAAATTTTTATCAGCTTGGACGCTTGGGAATTTTTTTTATTATTAACTATGGATCAGACATTGACCTAAAACAAATAAACCAAGGGATAAAATCTGATTTTGATTGTATTTTTAAATTCATTATGATTTTTTAAAATATTTTATTCCAGTTCTCAACTACCATAATTATTATGATCTTTGGTTGGGGTTGGGGAAATTTTTTCAAAATTATTATGGCCTTGCTTGGGAATTTTTTCAATATTAAATAATAGACATAGATGATCAGTAATATTTTAAAAAATAATATTGATATGAGTATCAAGTAAAAGCTTTAAATATATTTTGACTCAAAATATAGCATTTAAACTTAGTTTTAATGTGGGCCTACCTAAAGATGGGGGGGGGGTTATAAAGAATAAAAATTGGATATTATTTTCAAATAACAGGTAACAACTATCATTAAAGAGTAAGGAGAAAATTCTCATTCTCCGTCATTTTTGACGGACTCAGCAATGCTGACTAACGGGAGCTCTGGTACTCTTAGTTATATAATTTTCATTTTGCCCTTCAAGAAAGACGGGTCATCATACTTTTCTCTATTATTAGATGATAGATGAATCAGAAATTAAGAATATCTTATGAGGTGTGATTCACAAATTTACCTCTTTTTTGCCTAAATTTTAATATTTTTATATAATATATTAATAAAGTATATATAGTACCATATACACAAACTCATTACCCCTCAACCCCGTCATTCTTGACGGGTTATTAACTAGTTAATTTATATTTCTCTATTGACCTTTCCTCGCCTTCGGTTTTTAATATTGCAATGTGTTATTAGTTATTTCACTATTACTTTGTGCATATTGAAAATTTTTCGCAATAAACGCTCTGTCCCAGCGCCATAAAGGCCAAGGCACAATAAAAACACCCAATCGTCCGTAAGGGAAAGGGTTCTAGTTTTTAGGCACACGCCAAGTTAAAGTATTTGAGGTATTATGAAGGTACTTTGATAATAAAAAATATTGCGAATGAATAGGCGTGAAAGGAAGATTTAGTGGCTTAAAATTAAAATTTCGCGCTTTATGATTCTCTTTTCATAATAAATTTATTAAAAAAATTTGGCAGTTGATGCGATACGAATATTAAATATATTGAAAAGAAAATAACTATACAGTATATTACATTATAGACAGAAATATGAAAATGATCATTTATATCTTGATTTAAATAATAAATAATTTATTAAAATAAATTTGATGGTCCTCTTTTCTAGTACGAAGCTTTCGGTTCTAAAAACAAAAATTTACAAAAAAATATATATTAAATTTGCATTGGATAAAAAAAAAATAGTAAGAAAGATGGGTGAAATAATTCTAATGAGCCTGTCTTCGCAGACATTATCGGAAGGTACGGCTCGACCCAATCATCTTTAAAAGGTATGTTTGCATACGAAAAATAGGGCACTCGAAGAAAATTGTTATTGAAAAAAAATATTTTAAAATTTTGTCGAGGTCCCGCTCCTGCTGAAATTAAAATTGAAAAATCAAGATGCGATACGATTCGAGTCAAACAGAATATTTGTCCAAGCCTCTTGATTCGAGTTTAGCGAGCCAGACCAAAGTTTAGTTGAATCAGACTAAAGTTTATTAGGATCTGGCAGGATTTTGTTTGGATAACACAAGTTTAATTGGGTTAAACTCGAGTTTAATAAGGTCCTTTGGGATATTTAATAAACTTGGAAGAATTAAGGAAGTGTGACAATCAAGTAACGTTCAATCATTGGAAGAAGATATTGTCAGAAGGAAAAAAATTTTTTGGTCAAATTTTGGCATTTCACAATTTTCTATAAAAAAAACAACTCATATAAATATAATTATCAATAAATCGGTCCGTAAAACAGTATTTTGGCAAAAATAATAGAAAATTCAAAATATATATCAAATATTTTGCTTAACTGCATTTACAAGTTGCACAACCATACTTGTCTATTTCAAATCCATTGTCGCATTTGTTAGAACATCTGGGTGTGATCAAAGCTAAAAGAAAACAAAGTATAATTATCAGTTTAAATCAATAATATTTATTTAGCTTTAAGACTATATTTCAAATAGGAGTTCTAACAAAAGAGAGAGGTAGGCTATGACCCCAAATTATCCCGAATGCTATTTTACATTGGTTTAAAAATTTTTTCAAAAAAGTATTTTATCAAAATATTTACAGCAATCACATGTTTGACAACCCTGCTCATCAAATTGGTAACCATATGGACATACCGTGCATTTTCTTAGAGGACATTCTGTATAAGAATTGGAAATATAATATATTACCAAACAAAATCGATAAAAGCAATATTTTAGCAAAAGGCAAACGAGTGCTAAATAATTCATTCCTTATCCACTTTTTGTAAAAAATGAATTATTTTTTAACATAAATCCATTTTTTAGTTATACTATTCTATTTAAATAAAAATTCCGAAATATATACAAAATAAGTTAAATCATTGTCTGTATAAAGTTAGACCATCATACTGAAGAAACTTAAATTTTAACTCTCCTGTAGAATTATAAAAAGTGGAGATGGAATAATCTATTTATCAGGTGACGATTTATAAAAAATATTTTATCACTGCCATTTTCCCAAGGAAAAGAACAAGGGGAGGGGGAGGGGAACAAACTAAAAATATATACCTGAAAATGATTCGTTTTTTTATTTCTGCCTACCTAATTTGGGCTCTTAATAATTTGGGCAATTTAATAATTTGACTATATAGGACTAAATAAAATTCTTGTTAACTACTATTGGAAAGTAAAATGTTTTGATAAATTGTCAAACTGTCTAAGTTTTTGTAAAATCACTTGGCCCCGACGCCAAATAAGATAGGTTATACAGTTTATAATGTATATGTTAGCGTCAATGTGTTTTTTCCGTCAATATGTTATTTTTTTTAACTTTAAATCATTTTTTGAGCACGTTTTTAAAAATTTTAAAATCTTATTTTACCGGAAATGTATACCATCATCAGTGAATTTCAGACAATTTTACCATGAACTTTTAAGCTTAATATAATATATATTAAAATATTTATATATTTTTTATATAAATTATAAATGACTCAAAGGTTAACAGAAAAAATTGTCTACAATTCATAAGATAAGCGTTCCAAACATAATAGAATATATTTAAAAAAACGAGCTCAAAAAATGATTTAAAGTTGTAAAAATAACATATTGCCGACATCAAAAAAAAAATTTGCGCTTGGAAACATTCGGTTTTAAAACATAATATCAAAAAAAAATGTGCCATAATTTTCTATATGAAAGATAGGTAAAAAAGATAGGGGGAATAAGCTCTATTTGTAGCCATTTTAGATAGCTGGCCAAAGAATTGTGAAAACCTTGTTTCTAAACGAAAAATATAATTTTCGTTTTCAACATTTTTTTAAAAAATATATTTCACTTTATAGAAACCAAATAAATGAACTTATGACTCAATGATTAAAGGATTTTCATACAACAAATATAAATTTATCATCAATTGAATGGTATATAGAAGTACGTCGCCGCGCTAATCCTCCACCGATGGCTATTTTACTACGCCGACGCTAGTGTTAAAAACAGTTACGAAATAATAGTATTTAAAATATTAATAACATCATATTATATTGATTAAGATTGCTACTTAAAAAAATAATCATCCTAATATATTTTTTCTTCATTTCCTATTACTAGATTCATATTAGCAATAAATATGATTTAGGTGATGTTTTATGTGCAATAAGAATCTGAACCTTTTCAACTTGAGTGGGCTGTTGTAAACAAAATTCTAATTATTTTTTGAAAAAAATTAATATAATTGATATAAGATTACTTTTCTTCAAATTAATTGTCAGCCAGAGCCATGTTTTTAAGGTTAGAGAAAAGGAATCTCTCCCTCTTTTTACAAAGATTAGCTACCAAAATTATTGGATCTAACTACTTATTATCTCTATTATTTTTCTTAACTCCCCTTAGTTTAAGGGTAAATTAAGACTAAACACTAAAAATGAATATAAGAATCAAATAATATGCTTTAACAATTAAATTATATAAGAATTGGCATGAATAAAGGATTAACATTTATTTTTATAGTATAAAAAGAATTGATAAATTTACAGTTAGCTTGAATGCGCGTGGAAGATATCAAATTTTTTTTAGGAGTATCCTACTATTTGTTTTATTCAAAAATTATGCACACTCCTCAATAAACAGTCGCACCTTCTCCTAAAACACAAATTACTTGCTACGGACCAGGGGCTAGCCCAACGCCTAGTATAATTTAAGGTCTTTTTTCACCCACTAATCAAATCAAGCTGGCCGAATTTAGTCTATTCATTGGTCCAAGATAAAATCGTGTTGTTTATCAATATCACAAAATTTCAATTACACATTTACCTATAGGTTTTTTTATTGTTGAGTAGTACTGACAAAGGTAGCTCGAAAGAATGGGGCAGAATATTAGAAATATCATCATCATTTTTCGAGAAGAAATCATTAATGAGTAAACTAAATAAAAATTGAATACTCCCTATTTTGCAACATTGTTTATTTTGAAAATGATTTAATATTGTGAATATAAAATTAAATTACAATTGAAAACAATTAGAAATATATAATGACGATTTTCCAAAACCTATTAAAACATCTTTTATATTAATTAATTATTTTGTAAATGGCCTGAGGTATTATATAGTATTATAAATTAATACTATGGTTTTGTTAAACTTAATTTTTCATGGTAAATTATAAAAAGAAGGTTTTAAAGTCCAAACCTCAATTTATGACAGTCGAATATTTTGGCAATTAATTTGCATGCACAAGCCCGTGTACAGGAAGCGTCAGTGGATGGAGAGGGTGGGGCAAAGTTTAATTCGGCTAATTATTTTTTGTTTTATAAGTCATTAAATACAAATTTGGATGCTAAGTAACCCCCCCCCCCCTCCTCATGGCTACGAGGCTGTTCATACATGTATTCTATTAAATATTTAATGGGCTTAATATTGGCATCAGATGAACTCATCATTAATACATTAGGGAGGAGTATTTTGATGTTGTCTGAAACTTGACCCAACAATTTATCTACTTTTTTTCAAATTTTATATTTGAAATTATAACATAATGTGAAATCTATATCAAAATAGATAAAAATATTTTAAATATTAAATATTTTTTATACCATGGTGAATTTATTTTTAATCGACAAATATACAGGATAATTTGTTTCAAATTTCTTTTCGATATAAAAAATAAGAATTGGTTTAACTTTTTATTAGATGTAAAACTTGTTCTATTTCTTCCTTTTTTTCTTCTTTTCTTTCTTTACTCTACCCCCCCCCCCCTCCTTTCCTTCCTTCCTTCCTTCCTTCCTTCCTTCCTTCCTTCCTTCCTTCCTTCCTTCCTTCCTTCCTTCCTTCCTTCCTTCCTTCCTTCCTTCCTTCCTTCCTTCCTTCCATCCTTCCTTCCTTCCTTCCCTCCTTTCCCTCCTTTCCCTCCTTCCTTACTTGCTTACGTTTACTTTCTTACTTGCTTGGATAAGAGCACGAATGGGAAGATTTAATGGCCTAAAGTCCGAACCTAATTGCGATTTATGATCAATTTTCATTAATTTTATTTTAAAAATATGACTCAATTGATATGATAAACTAAATATAAAAAAAAAATTAAAAACTTTGTATATTATAGACAAAAATATGGAAATAAAAACTTTATAAAAATCATTAATACATAATTCATTAAAAATAAATTTGATCATCTTTCTACGTCACATTTTGCCATTCTAAAAATAAAAAAATTGGACGAAATAAAAATATAACTAGGTTTATCAGGGAAAATGACTGCGCAAGCCTCAACTCGAGTAAGTATAGTATTTAAATAATAAACTTAGTCAGAGAGTTCTTCCATATCTCCAGAAATTGACACTTTTTTCCCCCATATGTTGCATTTTTTATATCACTTATATACAGGGTTGCCATGCCTCCCCCCATCAGTGGGAGTCTCCCACAATTTTTTAGTTTACCCACATACATCTCACTCCCACAAAACTCCCACAATTAGAAATCTCCCACAATCTCCCACAAAAATCTCCCACAATTTTTTAATTTCTCCCACAATTTTTTTTTTAGCATTTTAATATATAAATAATAATTTTGAGAGACAGTATTTGATTATTTTTATATTTTTAAAATAAAATTTAAATATTTATTCGAAAAATATGTCTAGTTCTTTTATTTTATTTTTCCGCTAATTTTAAATTCTCCATCCAATCCAATCCATTCGACATTTTCAAAATTTGAAGTTAGAATAGTATGGGAAACTAGTGCTTTTTTTATATTTTTATTTATATATACCATGTTAGTTATCTTCTAGGTGAGATTTAGATTGTTTTGAGGTTAAAGCACTAGTTTCCAATACTGATGTTGTTTTTTGGACAATAAAATGATATAATTAAATATATAAAAAGAAAAATTATTTTCAATATAAATTGCTTATGTACTATTATATATTAAAAAATATATTATTAATATTAGAAGTAATATTTTTAAAAATTAGCAATGAAAGTGGAACTCATCTTAGAAAATATTATTATCCTAATCATCTTTAATCTAAGCTTAAAAAATCCTAAATATTATACATATTTTATATTTTTATTTATATATACCATGATAGTTATCTTCTAGGTGAGATTTAGATTGTTTTGAGGTTAAAGCATTAGTTTCCAATACTGATGTTGTTTTTTGGACAATAAAATGATATAATTAAATATATAAAAAGAAAAATTATTTTCAATATAAATTGCTTATGTACTATTATATATTAAAAAATATATTATTAATATTAGAAGTAATATTTTTAAAAATTAGCAATGAAAGTGGAACTCATCTTAGAAAATATTATTATCTTAATCATCTTTAATCTAAGCTTAAGATATCCTAAGAGGCCGAGTTAATGGTTAAACAAAATTATAAAATGTCATGCCAGGATTTTTATAAATATCTTAATAACGACGGTAAACGTTTAGTTCCATTATTTAAATCTCATATAAAATATAATTAACTATAACTATTTGACTTTCTATATTTTATAAAATCTTATTTATACATTTGCATAAAATCAAATAAATTTATTTTTTACATTGTAAAATTAATATTTTGAATATTATGGCAAATCATAAAAATAAAGAAGCATCATATTAAATCTTATTAATAATTATCCTATAATAGTAATATTCTTACTTTGGTATTTCTGCAGCATAATTTAGTGAGCCTTTATTAAATTATATTCTTCTGATTGCAACTGCATATTAACAGCATATAGTAGATTTCCTATATGTAAAATTCCTAAATATACTTCTGCCATTTATTTTTGAAAATTATTTTCAAATAGGACAGCTTTTATAATCTATTTATTTTTTAAAGGTTTGTATTTTAAAATTCTACGATGGCGCGTATTAGGAGGAACCTGTCAACCAACATTATGCTGGCTCAATTCTGTACACTCTGGTTTTTGCCAAATTCACTGAGGAATTATCAGATCAGAAAGCTACCATGCAATTCATTGTGCCATTATATATGGTTAGCTATGTCTTTGGATATTTCATATCTGGAGAAATTTTTTTTAATAGTTTTATTAAAATGACATTAATTTTGTTGAAATAGGGGAGGATCAAGGGAAATGTTTTGATATCTCCTTATTAGATGCATCTGTTAGAATTGCATATGTTTGCACATCTTTCAAATCGTCAAGAATTGACCTTCTGGATTTATATCCTAAAACATTGTTGATAGCCTTGCTCATTTTGTGTTCTACAAAGTATTCTATTCATTTATATTAGTCGTTAAATATTATGGGGAAAGATTCTACCAACATTGAGATGTTGAGTAACTCTCTGAATGTTGTACTGCATGATAGGTATTTACCATTTCCGCAACTGTAGTTGCATCTATATTATTTCTTATTTTTGAAGAATATTTTTGTTTTGAAATAGATGTTGATAGAATGCCCTGTACTGATTTATGCTTTGAAGATTTTTGATACCTCAAAATATCATATTCCCTTCCCCCATTTATTTTTTTACATTGTAAAATTACAATTTTTTATAAAATTTTATCTTGTTTACATTCTTTTGTATTTAAAAAAGATCGTTGGTTATTATTTTTAAACAAAATTAATATATTATAATAAATCAATGTTTTTTTAATAATAAAGATAGTACTCTAAGAAATTTTGTGTCGTACAGTAATTACCTATTTTGAAAAATAGTTGGGTATTTTATTTTGGAAAATAGTTAACTATTTTATTTTGAAAAAGAGTTGGATATTTTATTTTGAAAAATAGTTAGGCTATTTTATTTTGAAAAAGAGTTGGATATTTTATTTTGAAAAATAGTTGGCTATTTTATTTTGAAAAATAGTTGGCTATTTTATTTTGAAAAATAGTTGGCTATTTTATTTTGAAAAAAAGTTAACTATTTTATTTTAAAAAAAGTTAGCTATTTTATTTTGAAAAATAATTACCTATTTTATTTTGGAAAATAGATTAGATTTTATATTTATAAAAAATAATAAGTGGATAACTAAGTCAATTCTAAATCCAAAAAAATTTTTTTAGCAATTTCTCCCACAATTTTTATATTTCTCCCACAAAATACCTAATTTCTCCCACAATTTGAAAATTTTGACCTGGCAACCCTGCTTATATACCTTGATAGCATAAAAAAAAGTCGCATTTTAAAAATAATCATTATTTTAAAAGGCGTCATTAATATTTCTAAGCAAAATTTTATATTTTATTAAAGAATATATTAAACAAAACAGACTTTGTTATCTTCAAATTTTTTTCTAAGTTTGATCGAATTTTTTTAAACTTTACTATACACTTTTACTTCACCCCCCTTCAATACTTAGATCCGCCCAGTATGAGTGTTAATTATCATCACAATCAAAATATAAAATAATTATCTTTCATTTGATACACTTATCAAATTTTTATTATTCCCTTCCCTCTAAATCAAGTCCAACTCATTAAAACCAAGAGTGAATGTTTTAAAAATAATCCTGACCCCCAACATCTAGACCGGCTAATCCAGAGAATAATCATTATAAAAGATATTTTAATAACTTATTTGATGTCCATATCAAAATTATTATTTTAACTCCCCGTCTCCCATCTAAACAAATCCAATCCCATTAAGACAAAGACTGAATCCTATTATTTTAGTCAAAATATTTTAATAAGCTTCTATTTAATACCCATATATAATGTCTTGATGAGAATATTCTTGACCCTCCAAGCCCTAAACCAGCCCAAGATAATTATCAATACAATCAAAATATATATAAATTATATTTCATTTAATACCCATTATTAGTGTTGTCAAATGGCTCGATTTGAGTCGATTTTTAAAAAGGCTAAAACCAAAAAATATTGCCTAAGTCTCAAAAATTAAATAATAGATGATTAAACCTTTCTGCCATATATGACTTAAATCTCTAGGCTTGCGTAATATGGTTCTAAATAAAATATTTAGTTTTTAAAAATAGCTTCAAATCGAGCCGTTTAACAACACTACCCATTTTCATATAAATGATAAAGATATGTCGAACCGAGGCAATAAATGTATCAAACCATTTGTGCTCTGAGAGAAAATTTTAAAAAGTAAACTAGACGTCGATGAATTTAATACTCCATACAAAAGGCGGTCAAAATGCGGCAATATATCAAATTCTAAACCACACAAATGTGGGATAAGAGTATTTGCTGATCGGGTCTTCTGGGAATTAGTCAATTAATAACATCGAATAAACTTCATAAATTATATATGGGTTATTCATCTTTCCGACTATTTTTGACGCTTACAAACAGTGTAACGATAAACTGATTATTATTTTTTTTAAATGATAAGGTATTTTTTTTAAAAAAAAGCAGGAATGGATTAGTTGGCTTAAAATTCAAATTTTGCGCTTAAGGATTTTTTTGTCATTATAAATTTATTTAAAAAGTTTTACTCAGTAGATACGATACAAAAAATATATTAAAGATAAAAACTTTATTGTAACTGTATTATAAACAATGAATGAAAATTAAAAACTTTATATTTCTTTATAAATCATTAATACATAATTTGTTTAAATAAATTTGATCATTTTCTTTTCCAGTAGCAAACGACCGGGTCTAAAAATAAAAATTATACATAAAATTAAAATATGTTCAAATCAAATAAATAAGCTATTTTTAACAAAAAAGAGCAATTTTAAAAAATTGTAATTTTAGCAAGATATAAATTACTGCAGCGGCAAATTCTACATCCATTTTTATCGATTTGATGACCATTAGGACAGACCGTATTACATCTTATCAGAGGGCAATCTTGAAAGATTTTATTTAAAAGTAAATTTTTTTTAAAAGTTATACATATAGTGCTGATTATAATAATATGAAAGTTATATTTATCTTATTATCTGCCACAAGTTAAAAGACCATTTAATGAATCATATAACCTATTCCATCTGGAATCATATGGATAACATTGCAAACTGCTTTACAATATATTTTTTTTAGTTTTCAGTGGATGTAGGTCAATGTGATACATCGAAAACATAATTTTAGATACATTACACATTTTAGGAAAAAAAGAATAATCTCCACCTTAATTAGCATTTGAAATTTCTATAATTGACTAAAAATAAATGTATACAAATGCATTTCTAAACTAAGCTCACATCTTCTAACTTTATTCATTAATTTTCTATAATCATTTTCAGTTTGTATAGCCATTCGCTGGAAGAACTTACCATTTGAATAATATGATGTAAAACGATAAATTTTTAATAGATTAACTAAGTCGTCTAAACTAGTGACTTGCAGGTTCAATTATTTTCATACCAAACCCAGTTATTTAGTTTTAAATCAGAGTTTTAATTATAATTATAAAAAAAATTATATGGAAAACCAAAATAGCGTGTCAAAAGTTGATTTGGAAAAAAAATTGATTATAACTAAAATTTCAAATGTAGTTAATTTAGTATATTTTTGTAAATGGAATATGATTTAAAATATATTCATTAGATTATACTTAATTATTTTCATGATAATATATCGTTGTCTCAATGAGATATTGAATCATATTTTCAGTTATATGAACTTCATACACATTAGAACCTGCAAAGTAATTTATTAGCGGGCCGAGCTCGCATTTTAAAAAATTTCGTGTCCGAGCCCATCCGATACATATTTTTAGTTCTAGTCCGTGTCCGACTAAAAAAAAATTGGAATTTGATTATAAATATTACATTTGATTTATCATTTGTATTTTGTTTATGTTCTGATCTTTTAAGAAATTACTTTAATTTGGATCCATTCTATAAACAATTTTATAAATGTATAAATTTGAGGCTATTTAGTTGAAAAGATCTTTGAAAACAAGAATTATCAAATAAAAGTATTTTATAACTGTTATAACAGATTAATATTAAAGAAGGAAAAAATATTATGCTCTACATTATCAATACAACCAATTAAAATTTGAATAAAGATATCAATAACTGCAACGACAGAGTCTATATCCTTTTAAACGATTTAATTCCCCCCTAACTAATTACATTATAGAAGAGGGCAATTTTTAAGATTTTCTTTAACATTTTATTTTTATTCTTCTTCAAAGTTATGGCTTAATTTACATCTATTCATGTTGTGAAGGTTATATGAGAAATATTCGTAAAATTTTTTTTATTTATTTGTTTTGTGTAACCGATATATAAAATATATCCTTCTTTTTGTACTTCCAACATTCTACAAATTTATATAATTTACTTCGCGTGTAAATACTTCGGGTACAAATCTAGGTTTTTTTCAAGGACAAGGTTAATTTTTGATTCGATAGAAAATTAATTAACTACACTCAAAATTAAACAATGTTTACTTTTATAACGGGGAAAAAAATTGATGAAAAATATAATGGTAAAATAAAAAAAATCGTTTCTAGATTTAACACATATTAATACATTTCTGTAATTCAATATTATGATTTTTTAAAAAGGGTATGTTTGTCTTATTGGGTAAAAGAGAAAAATACTGAGGGATAATAAACCTTAAAAAAAGATTTCATAAAAATAAAACTATATAATAAAGATACGGAAAAAAAATATCTTAAAAACAAAAAAACGGAAGAATAACTCTAGAAATTAAATCCTTCAGAAAGTTAATCGGTTAATATTTAGAAATAAATTAAAAAATAGTCATTATTAGGTTATATGCCAATTCCGTAAAAATTTTACCGCGAAAACTTTTATCGCGAATGTTAATTATAGCAAATTAAATTTATGGTGAAACCTAATCACAAATCTACTTGCGATTACTATTCCCCCATGAATAAAGCCCTCAAATTTTTATAACGAAACCCTTACAGCGAACTCTTTAGGGCGAAATAACAAGAGTTAATAATGGAAAAAATTTAAACGAAGTCATTATACCTGAACCCAAATCGTAATTAATATAACGAAAACCATTTCATGAATCTTATATCGCGAAGATATTAACACAGTGAGAGTAATGCCGCGATAATTGCTAATAGTGACTACTTTATTTTGATTTAAAACCAAATTAAAAAAAATTTTAAAATAGATTGCTCAAAGATAGAACTATAAATTTTTTATTTTAAAACCTTAATAAATTTATTTAATGATTTTTGAACTTTGAAATGGTTTGGAAGATTTATTATAGTAAGGATATTTTATGCTACCCCGCCTATGCTTTTTCATCAAGGTCTTATTATAGTAGAATAAAAATCACATCATTTTACGAATATTATCATTGGGTTTGTTAAATAGCCTTGATCTCTAGGGGAAGTAGAAAAATCTAGAAAATAAAATTAATGGTCCGCGGATAGATTTATCTCAAACCTTTTGAAAGGCATGGTAAATAAATTAGCACTAATTAAGTTTGAGAACATTTGATTGTTTTATTTATACAACTTATATTATAAAAAGATATTATTATTACTTAGAACTTTCAATTTTGAATTATTTTATTTATGTTGGACCCCCCCCCCACCCCCCATTTATTGTGAGGATTATAAATGATTTAGATTTTATATGTAAAAATTCTTATTAAATAATTATTTCAAAACGAAATTAAAGATGACTAGTTAATTGTAAAAATATTACTCACAACATTACCAATGATTAGATTAAATACTTTTCAATCTTGATAAATATTGAGATATGGGGGCCTAAAAATGTATCTTGATACAAATATTTTTTTAAAAATAGAATCAAGATATATATTTTTATTATAATCAGGTAAAGTTTATAAAAAATTTACTATGTTGATTGTTTTTCATCAGCATATCACTAATATTAATCACCTATAATGTACAATTATTCTATTATTACCACCATATTTACCATATTTTCTTAATTAATTGTGTTAAATAACGCTTACCTTGAAATGGAAAGAATCGAAAAATAATAAATTTAATATACAATAGTAGTATATTTTTTTTAAAAATTACATGATAAAAAATCGCAGAATAAAATTGCATCAATATGTATAAAATTGTCACAGCATAAAATCTTTAGATAAATACATTTTATAAAAATGTTACTGCATAAGATTTTTTGTATCTAGAAACATAACCCTTCTGGCCGGTCCAAGAGTTAGTTTAGAAAACTCTGGGAAGCAAACCAGATTTTTGCGCCTTAATCGAGATATATATTTCTGAACTACTAAGCCATTACAAAATGAGGATTCATTTTGAATATAAATAATCTTTTTTGCAAATTAAAAATATTTTTATAATTATATTTAATTTTTGAAAGTTAAAGAAAGAAAGAAAGAAAGAAAGAAAGAAAGAAAGAAAGAAAGAAAGAAAGAAAGAAAGAAAGAAAGAAAGAAAGAAAGAAAGAAAGAAAGAAAGAAAGAAAGAAAGAAAGAAAGAAAGAAAGAAAGAAAGAAATAAATAAATAAATAAAGAATTAAACATATTTACTCCAATTTTTTAGGATCGTTAGATTGTTCTGCTTGCCCAAGTAGCTTGAAATAAAGGAACAGAAAATAATAAATTTGATCATCATAGATTATAATTCAATTTTTTGTTTAAGAAATGAGAATTTTGAACTAATTATCTGGATTTTTAGATAAATTTAATTTTTTAAAAAATTATTTAATATCTTGTTATAAAAATCAAAAAAAAAATTGATATGTTATTTTTTGTTGACAAAACCAGGATGTAAAAGATAAATAAATATAACCCGATAACATATCATACCAAAGGTTATAAGAAGATTTTTTTAAAATTCTTTTCCAAAACTCTAATGAAAGTAATTTCTATTCCTATCAAGGCTGGGCAAAAGTTACCAACAACATTATGTTACAGTTAGCGCTACGCTACATAAAGTGTAACGTTCTTGTAATTCTCCCATTTTAAAAATGTGACGAAGGGCTTTATGGTTACTTTAAAAATAAAGCATTTTTTAGAAAAATAATATTAAATTAAAGGTTTTAAATAAAATGTTTTATTAGTTAAATAAAAAGAATCCAAAGAAGGCAATGAGATTTCTTTCTTTTGCAAATTTTATGGATAGGATTTAATGATTTATCTGTATTCCTAAATCAAATTAACCATTAAAGTTATTATATCCGCAGAGGAATACTACGATATTATTGCGGAAGACGATAAATAATGCTATATATAATCATGGACAAATAGGAGATGCTTACAGCCTCTTGTACAAAATTTCTAAGCGGTTTCGGTTCCTCTTTTTTTGGTATTTTGAAAATGAATAAAATAAAAAATGATCAGAACCTTAATCAAATTTTATCACCCGAACCTTTAAAAATATCGGTGAACCAGTTTGAATCTTTCGATGAACTCTTTAAACGATTATAATAATAAATTTTTATTGATTGATGATAAGTATCAGTAACTATTTTTTATATATTTTTATATATTGCTAATTGACAGCAACTACCCGAGTTAACGTATAAAAGTGTTCTCAAATATAGTTTATTCTTTATCCTTATGGATATTATTTGACGGAATCAATATTATTTTTAAATGTTAACATTTTTTTCTCTACATAATTATAATAAGTTTGCATGTAAAGAGGTTAGAACCGGTTTTTAAAGTGCAAACCGAACCGATATTATGAATTTTAACAAACCGAAGTTTGATAAATCTTTATTTTTATCGGATACTGAACCGATATTCGTTGCGTTTGAATCCTTTAAAACATATAACTTTAAAAAAAAGAATAGTTTATCAATAAAACATGCTCCTCTATCTTCTTAAATTTAGCTTTCTAAATAGAAAATTATTGATTAAGTTTATGTTTGACGGAGTTATTTTGAGGTCTTATAACGATGCCTCTACTATTTGAAGAATTAAAATAAAATTGGTTTAAGGAGAGAACCTGATATTAATTGCAATTTTAACGAAATTATTTATTTTTTAAAAAAAATTGATATTTATAAAGATGGAATTTATAATTATAAAGTCAAGCACGAATCGACCTCGCCTGGGGAAACTTGGGGCTTACTTATTTAATCTTTTCACATTTTGACCAATTTTGAGAGAAATTAGTTCAATAGATAAAAAGTTAAAGCATTGTGACCTAAGTCAGCATCCCTTCCTTCTTTTTCCTCTCCTCTCCTCGCTTTCTTTCTTGCTGGAAATCATACTAACGCAAATACCGCGGAAAATTGGATTCGAATCCTTTACATCTATCTAGAAAAATATCTATTTAAGTATCCACCGACGAGAATCTCTCCAATGGGCCATCGCGTATCGGGCTTTGCGAGAGAGAGGGGACATCATATTCAGTGCTCCTCACGATCAAGCTGCCGACAATCTAAACGAGGTCTCCACGACTGTTTTAATATAAGTCAAGCTACCCAATCATTACTTTCCTAATTGTCCAGTCTATAATCTCAATCTGTGATGACTTACCATATGAATTCCGAAAAATTATGCCAGGACAACCATAGAACGATTCGTCTCCGCAATATTTACTATAAATAATATACGCATATCTAATATATATAATCGTCGTAATCAATAAATGAACGGTTTCGTATAACCTTAATGTTAATTTTTATTTTTGGAACTTTCCTATCATCTTAATGTTAATTTTTATTTTTGATATCAACTTTCTTATCATCTTATAATGTTATATAAATCGAAGGAGACTATATACTTCTAATGTTAAATTTTTGTTTTTGTTAAAAAAAAAGAAAACTAAATTTTGTAATACAATTCTTCTTATAATGAAATTATATTATGATAAGTAATTTAAATATATCAATATTTATCTTTTTTATTGGAAGTTCCAGGCTTAGGAAAACAATTTCAAAATTATTATCGGTTGGCAAGGTTTGAGAAAATTTTTTTTAAATTAGGGTCGGGCTGGGCTTGCAAAATATTTTTATAAATTATATTGGGTACGTTTGGGAAAATTTTCAAATTTTTATCAGCTTGGACGCTTGGGAATTTTTTTTATTATTAACTATGGATCAGACATTGACCTAAAACAAATAAACCAAGGCATAAAATCTGATTTTGATTGTATTTTAAAATTCATTATGATTTTTTAAAATATTTTATTCCAGTTCTCAACTACCAAAATTATTATAATCTTTGGTTGGGATTGGGGAAATTTTTTCAAAATTATTATGGCCTTGCTTGGGAATTTTTTCAATATTAAATAATAGACATAGATGATCAGTAATATTTTAAAAATAATATTGATATGGGTATCAAGTAAAAGCTTTAAATATATTTTGACTCAAAACATAGCATTTAAACTTAGTTTTAATAATTTGAGCCTACCTGAAGGTGGGAGGGGGTTATAAAGAATAAAAATTGGATATTATTTTCAAATAACAGGTAACAACTATCATAAAAGAGTAAGGAGAAAATTCTCATTCTCCATCATTTTTGACGGACTCGGCAATGCTGACTAACGGGAGGGAGCTCTGGTACTCTTAGTTATATATTTTTCATTTTGCCCTTCAAGAAAGACGGGTCATCATACCTTATTTGATGTTAGATGAATCAGAAATTAAGAATATCTTATGAGGTGTGATTCACAAATTTACCTCTTTTTCGCCTAAATTTTAATATTTTTATATAATATATTAATAAAGTATAATATATAGTACCCAGAGTTGGGCAGTACCACGAATACTTGTATCTAAAATACAAGATCCTTTTGTATCTTGTACTCAGTATCTTATTAAATTTTTTAATAGATACTAATATCTGTATTTAAGATCCTTTATTTTGAAAAGAATCTTGTATCTTTTTCATTTTCTTTAAAAAGATACAGATACAGATTCTTTTAAATTTTCATGTTTAAAACATTTACATATCACACAATGTACTTTATTTTCTTCGTGAAATCTTGTATTATTTTCTTTTTTTTTCCCGCTCTATTTTAAAAGTGTTGTTAAATGGCTCGATTTGAGTCGATTTTTAAAAAGGCTAAAACCAAAAAATATTGCCTAAGTCTCAAAAATTTACTAATAGATGATTAAACCTTTCAGCCATATATGACTAAAATCTCTAGGCTTGCGTAATATGGTTCTAAATAAAATATTTAGTTTTTAAAAATAGCTTCAAATCGAGCCGTTTAACAACACTACCCATTTTCATATAAATGATAAATATATGTCGAACCGAGGCAATAAATATATCAAACCGTTTGTGCTCTGAGAGAAAATTTTAAAAAGTAAACTAGACGTCGATGAATTTAATACTCCATACAAAAGGCGGTCAAAATGCGGCAACATATCAAATTCGAAACCACACAAATGGGGGATAAAAGTATTTGCTGATCGGGTCTTCTGGGAATAAGTCAATTAATAACATCGAATAAACTTCATAAATTATATATGGGTTATCTATCTTTTCGACTATTTTTGACGCTTACAAACAGTGGAACGATAAACTGATTATTATTTTTTTTTAAATGATAAGGTATTTTTTTTTAAAAAAAAAGCAGGAATGGATTAGTTGGCTTAAAATTCAAATTTTGCGCTTAAGGATTCTTTTGTCATTATAAATTTATTTAAAAAGTTTGACCCAATATTAAAAATAAAAACTTTATTGTAACTGTATTATAAACAATGAATGAAAATTAAAAACTTTATATTTCTTTATAAATCATTAATACATATAATTTGTTTAAATAAATTTGATCATTTTCTTTTCCAGTAGCAAACGACCGGGTCTAAAAATTAAAAATTATACATAAAATTAAAATATATCCAGAACTGAGTGAATTAATTATAATCGGAAGGGCAGATCCAATATTTTTGAAATATATATCGGATCTTTTAAATAAGTTGCTTTAATAAAATCGGAAAAATATATAGGCAGATTAAGTTAAAATTTTGACAAGTTCGGATCCGGGCCAAAATTAAAATTCAAAGATCAAGGTTCGATCATTTCAAGCCCGAATGAAAATCTGCCCAACGTCAACCGGGTTTAGTTAGAACAACCTATGATTTGCCCGTACAAGGATATACGTTCTTATTTTGCAGCTTTCAAATAACTTATAAATTTATATTTAATCCCTATATAATTTAAATTGTTATGGAATTTCTATCAATTGTTGGACTATAGCCGGAAGCTAGTCTTTTTTTTATAATATTTTCCCTACGTTTCATTAGCAACAAGATTAATTTTGCATATTGAAAATGTTGTTGAAAGAGGATTGATTCTAAAATTATATATGGCATGAAGAATGTGATCGCACTTAGTTTAAATCGTGAATTCGCCAAGGGAAAAATATTTATGCAGTTCAACGGGCTTTAAAAGTATTTTACCAAAGATTTATCTGGTTTAATAGCATCTTAATTCACTCTAATCTAAATCCATCATGTATGAAAAGAATTAAAGTCTGAAAGAAAATATAAATAGAAAAAAATAATAGGTTAAGACCTTTTCAAATTTCTAAATGAACTTGAAACAAAAAATTAACGAAATGTGACCTTTCATTTCGCCAGAAAAATCACGCTAATGATATCAGAGGAAAGAAGAGATTGATTGTTGCACAAGATAAAGGGAAGGGTCGATTCTAAGGCTACATTTATAGTAAACGCGTTATATTCAAGCGTTGCGTTATTACAAAATAAAGCCAATAAATAGGTATGATAACGCTATGATGAAATTTGAAAAACATACGTTGCGAGCGAATTCGATAAAAAAATATATAATGATGTCTGTTGTATATTACATATTTAAAATAATATCTCTATTTTAGCTTTCTCTTAAATTAGTTATTAAAAAACTGAATCATATTTATATATTTTTGATATAATTCAGTAATTGCTATTTGATGAATAATAGATCTCAAAGGATGTTCCACTTTTAAAAGAAGAATGTGGGTTATGAGTCATTTTTTATTTTAAATTTTAGCATTATAAATCACAATTTTTTTAAAAAAAATAAAACAATCCATTTCTAAATAATTTTAGGGTATAATTAAGTTCGATGTTATTTAATAAAATAATAGATTGCATCAATTAACGAATTTTGAAGTTATATTAAAGATTTTAAAATGAAACATTTTTTTAAACCATTCGTTATAGATAAATCATTATCGATTGAATCGGTCCACAAAAACGGCATTTAGGCAAAAAAAAACTATTTTCAAATATTTTTGCTTAACTGCATTTACAAGTTGCACATCCATACTTATCATTTTCAAATCCATTTTCGCATTTGTTAGAACATCTGGGTGCGCTACAAACTACAAAAAACAAAAACAAGGTAGATTATAATTTAAACGGAAAAATATATTTTGCTATAAAAGTATATTTCAACATTTTAATAAAGAAAATTTGTTAAAATATTTACCGCAATCGCATGTTTGACAGCCCTGTTGGTCAAATTGGTAGCCTTTAGGACATACCTTGCATTTTCTTAGAGGACATTCTATATATTTCATATGCCACACGAATGTAAAATAAAATTTTATCAAATAAATTGGTAAAAGTAACATTTTAGCAAAAAAAAATAAGAAATAGAATTCAAAATGTAAAAGAGTCCGAAATTATTTCTCGGAGTTAGCCGGCCAGTGATACACTGGTTAAAGAAAATATATGTTTTGTCCTACTAGGCCTGTGTTATGATCCATTTATTAAATATATGAGAATAAATATAAATATATGAAACATTTAGTATATATTAAATTTAATACAGTCGATTTTTTTAAAATCAATTGCCAAGACTGGCATCAACGATTATTAAGCCTCCTTCTCGTAAACCTAATATTATATAACCTTGCAATCTTTTAACAAGTGATTCTTAGATATGACTGCCTGACCACTATCCTCTGGGCCATAGATAAATCCTTCATTTGTGATTATACACATACAGTGTTATTAAATTAAAACCATCCAAATTATAATCTTTGCAAAAATAATTAAAATATAAACAAAGCATTACTGAAATTTCTTTTATTATTCCTTTAGTTATTTTAATTATTTTTGCAAAGAGTATAATTTTATATGGATGGGTTTTAATTTAATCGTCAATATGTTTCATTAAATCATCACAACACTGTATCTCATCCTTCCCCACAATAGTAACTTTCTTAATCTAGCAAACTAAAAAAAATTACAAATATAAAAACCTCAGCAATTTTATATTCTCACCAATTGCAACTTCTACCATTGGACAGTTTGTTCCTATCACCTTCGGTTTAAAAAAAAAATTAGCTCACAAAGTCAAATTAAGAACAATTGACTCTAGGGAGTTTTTATTCCTTAGGTAGAAAATACTACTATTTTAAATTTAACTATTGTTCCTTTATAGGGAATACAATTATGTTTTACTAAAATTATTTTGATTCATAATATTTTTATATAGCTCTATTTTTTAAACCGGCTAACTCAATATTTTAGCTAGAAAAATATTGTCTAAATCTCGAGATTTCGATAATAGATATTCTGCCATCTATGACCATCTGCGTTTTTTTAAATTTAAAAGTCTGATTTTACCGGAAATGTATTTCAGCATGTTTTGGAATGCCTGTCATGAATTGTAGAAAATTTTACAGTTAACTTGAATCATTTATAATTTATGTGAAAAATCTATGGAAAAACTAATATATTAAGTTTAAAAGTTTATGACAAAGTTAACTGAAATTCATACGGTAGGTATTTCAAACATGATGAACTACATTTCAAGTAAAATCTGATTTTTAAATTAAAAAAAAACGCACTCGAAAAGGATTTATAGTTGAAAAAAATAAAATATTGCCGGAAAAAAAACATTACAGCTAACATATATTTATTTATTAATTAAATATACTCAATTATTTAATTAATTTGCTCGGAAACTGGAGAAGTTTTTATCAACAATATTATTTTTTTTACATTTCTAGATTTTGGCCAAATTATTATTACCCATTCTAGATTTTTGTGTAACAAGTATGGAATTTATTTATGAGTAACAGTTTTTTGAGAATTTAATCAAATATACCGCAATCACATGTTTGACAACCTTGTTTATCAAATTTGTAACCGTTAGGACATGGCTTGCACTTTTTCAGGGGACATACTAAATATTATTTTATATCACCAATTAATAATATAATAAATATCAATACACAATCGGTAGAGTTGTAACATTTCGGGAAAAAATGTTACAGTGATTTTGGCTCTTGATGATTCAGTCAACCACCTCCCGGATAGTTCTGATCTCTTAAAAAATTACGACATATACAATAAAACTTACCTAATTTGAGTTTTTTAATAAATTAGGGCAATTCACTAATTTGACCAAAATTATGGGTCTAAATAAAATTCTTGTTAACTAATACTGGAAAATAAAATGTTTTGATTGTGAGACTCTCTAAGCTTGGCAAACCGTGATCCCGACGATATCAAAATTAGACAGATCATACAGTTTATCCTTATAAAAATATATGTTACCGTCAATGTGTTTTTTCCGGTAATATGAATTATATTAAATTTAGTTGTTCATTGTTCATGATAAAACTATCTGAAATTCATATGGTAGGTATTTCAAACATGTTGGACTATATTTTTTTTTCGGTAAAATTAGATTTTTAAATTTAAAAAAGGCACTCAAAAAATGATTTAGAGTTGAAAAAATAAAACATTGCCGGAGAGAACACATTGCCGCTAATATATATTTATTTATTAATTAGAAATACTCAATTATATAATTACAATTATTGCTCAGAAACTGGGAAGTGTTTATCAACAATCATTTTTTTATATTTCTAAATTTTGTTAAATTTACTACTCATTCTATTGGTGTAACTCATTGGCGTACGCAGCGGGGAGGGGCAAATCCCCCCCCAAGCCAAAAAATGCAGATGCCGGATATATTTTTCAAAAATATTTTTGTTTAGAGTGTTGTGCAGATTTAATTTAAAACATTTCAATATTTTTTAATTCGTTTGTAAATAAGAATTTTAACTTGTAAAAATTGATAAGAATATATAAATATGTTATTTTAACAACTTTTTACATGTCAAATAATTTTATTTTCAAATAAATTAATAAATATGGAAATGTTTTGAATTAAATATACACAGTACTTATTAATTTATATTTGTTAATATTTATTCCTATCTCATATTAAATATATATTTAATTACATTTATTATCACAGTAACTAGTATTAAATTTATTAATAATTTTTTTTTGATAAATTAATCAAATATACCGCAATCACATGTTTGACAACCTTGTTCATCAAATTTATAACCGTTAGGACAAGGCTTGCACTTTCTCAGGGGACATACTAAATATTATTTTATATCACCAATTAATAATATAATAAATTACAATCATTTCAATCGGTAGAGTAGTAACATTTCGGCAAAAAAATAAAATAAGAGTTGCAGTAAAACTTTTCTAATTTTGTTTCTTGATAATTCGGTCAACAACCTAATTTTACCAAAATTTGTCCCAATCAATTTCCTATTAACTACTATATATTAGAAAATGACCTGATAGATTACTATCTATTGGACAAAAATCTTGGTCCTAGAGGTACCCAAATTAAAGAGGTTTATACTGTATAGTGTATATAAGAAAAAATTTGCTTACTGCATTGACAAGTTGGGCAGCCGTATTTATCCATTTCAACTCCATTTTGGCAAGGAAAAGCACAAGGGAATGGGAAACAAACTAAAAATATATATATTAGGATATAATTATTATCAAAATATTATATATAACCTTTTTATATGATAAATATTTATACAGTAAAACTTGCCTAATTTGAGCTCTTAATAATTAGGGCAATTCACTAATATGACCAAAATTTTGAATCCCAACAAAATTCTTATTAATTAATATTAGAAAATAAAAAGGTTTTAATAAATTAGGAAACTGTTCAAAGAATCAAGATATTTCAGGTGTCCATGCTAAACAAGTTTTACTGTATTTTATATTATACAATTCAAAAAATTGTTTGCAAACTAAATATGGTATATTTTTTTGGATAAAAAAAAAAGATAAAAAAATTGTGTAGTAAAGTTTATTTTTAGCCATTTTAGCCGATTATAAGCTGGCTAAAACTAAAAACGTTTTTATTTATTATTTTTTGTTTTGAGAAAAATATATACTATAAAATTTTATGAAATTTATAGGGATTTAGTGCTCAATATCTAAGCTAACAAATAAACTTTACGGTAATAGATTTGAAAGATGCATATTTACAATTACCAACAAAAGAGAGTAAAGAATACTTAACCATATCAAACCATATTGGTTATTTCCAATATCAATGTATGCCTTTCGGTCTTTCAAGTGCGCCGACCATTTTCCAAAGATATATGGATAATTTATTACAAGACTGCCAAATGACCGGAGTATATCTTGACGATATTATCATAACGGGGAAAAATGATGTAGAACATTTGAATAATGTAAAAAAAAGGATTAATGAAATTAAAACAGGTGGGTATGAAGGCAAAATGGGCCAAAATACGCTTTTTAAATGAATCAGTTTCTTTTCTAGGTTTTGTAATGACAAAAATGGAATACACCCAGCGAAAGAAAAAATAGATGCTATTCGAAGGATACCAATTCCTAATAATATACACCAATTACGATCTTTTTTAGGACTTGTGAATTATCACGAGAGATTTTTGCCACATTTGCATGGAATTGCCGCTCCACTGCATAAATTAACAAGCATTAAATGTTGCTGGGGTTGGTCGGACAGGGAACAAGAGGTATTTGATAAAATAAAACAGCTTTTGTCAACAAATAAAACGCTAATTCCATATTCGCCAAACTTGCCAATTATATTGGAATGTGACGCCTCCAACACTGGTTTTGGAGCTGTGTTGTGTCATTTAGTAAAAAAAGGTATTAGCAGACCTGTCGCATTTGCCTCGTGAACATTATTGGAGTAAGAGAAAAATTATGCACCAATAGAAAAAGAGGTACGAGCACTTTTGTTTGGAATGGAAATTTCATCCTTTCATATTTGGTCGAAAATTTATATTGCGAATAGATCACAAACCTTTGGAAAAATTATTTGGTGATAAACGGGAACTACCAAAAATATCCAATAGTCGATTAACGCGTTGGGCTTGGAAAATGTCCGCATATGATTTTGATATTGAATATGTTCCAGGAAAAGAAAATAAAGTAGCTGATACTTTATCTAGGCTTCCAGTAGAAGGCATAGAATCAAATAACGATGAAAAACATGCGTTGAAAATCAGAGCTACGTTGGTAAATAGTAAAAAGAACGAATGTTGCTTATTCCTAAATCGCCCCCACAATATAAAAGGTAGGTAGCCCTGATTTTTTTTATTTTTCAGGCTAAATGATGAGGCTATCAATGATACAATTAGTTTAATAATATAAAATAAAATTTTATCGCAAAAAAGCAAAACACCTGCTATATAACCATGGTCTCCCCTTAATAAAAGATATTATCCTGAAAATTGCCTTTTGATTGAAACTTTTTTAGATAGGATAGACATTTGCTATACTGCTATTAGTTAGAGTTAAGGTTATTTAAATTTTCTTCCTTACCAAAATTCAAAATAAAATGGATGGGTGCCTTTGTGGATGATAACGATTAAAAGTCGTCACGATAATTTTGACCTTAACTAATAAATGGAAGTTGCCTCAATTACACGCCAAGTTACTAGTTCTAGTTCTATTATTTCTTCCTCCGATAATTATATATTATATGAAAACCAAAAATACAAACAATAAAACAACTATATAAATTAGAAACCTGCAGGCCCTATCCTAAACCCGCGGCTTATTTTAAACGAAATATCTCAAATCGCCATATTAACTACAAAAATTAAAAATAAATAGAATATATTTAAAAAAATCAGGACCAGGGCTGTGTGATGCAAATGGTAACTTTGCAGGTCTCTGATATAAATAACAAATAACTATTGTTTTCCTAAAATAAGCTTTTTTATATGAATATTTAATGATATGTTATGATATGTTGTCAAAATGTAGTAGCAAATAATTAATTTTTAAAAGGTAAAATAAATAAAGATGAAAAATGTAGAAATAGAATTTACGGGAAAGGATAGGGGATGAAAATAAAGGAAGTTAAGAATATGGAAGGTTATTCAATGGAAGAGATGAAGCTTAGATAGTTAGAGCGAATGATGGCGGTAGCAAGTCTTTGGCGTAAGAAGAGGGATTCCTTAGGCTGATCGGTTTTTCGCGGATCCGTTTGCCTAATTCCTTGAAAAAACGTTGAGCTTTGCTACCGAAGGTGGTGAGAATGGAGCAGGTGATGGGTATGAAGAAAGAAGGGTCTAAGGAACTGTACTTTATGTTCCGAGATTCTGCGCGTGCGAGGGCATCGACGTTATGGTTAGATGGTGCATTTGGGTCAATGCAGGTTAATTCCCAAACCAGGAGCTGACCCCTTGACCAAGGAATCAAAGACATTCCATCAGGATTTTTCCCATCGGTTCTAAAAATTCCAGTTGGTTCAAGTCTAGATGGAATGCCTCCTGATTTGAGGGCGCGTAATATGATGTCGTTACATTTGGTGTGCCGTGAAAAACGGATACGACAAAAGCGACAATGGAGGCAGTGTCTACCCTTGCTGTCGACACTGGTTTCGCAATGTTTGCATTGGTACGGAAGAACAATTTTGCAATTGAGCCGTAGTCCAATAGCAAATCTTAGATCGTCAGTGGAGAGCAACAAATCAAGGTTGTTGGAGGGTATGGTTACCAGAAACTCGTAACCGGATCCTTGGTTCAATTGATGAAAAACTGTGAGATCGTCGTCGTGAAAGCTCGATTTTAGGTAAGCGACGGAGCCTTCGTTGAGTGGAATATCCCAGTCTCTCTGTGAACATGAGGAGGGTCGTGGAGTATTTGGGACAACGGAATTGTCCCAAATGGTCTGGGCTTCAGCTAATAAGAGGTCAGGGAAGTTAGAAAGCTGGCTAATGTGTGAGTCAGATGAAAGACGAGAGGCGATGAAACCACTGATGGAAAGAGTTAGAGGTGAGCTTAAGCCGATACCCTTGAGCTTGCATGGAAGTGATGCTTGTAACCATGAATTATGGTTAAAGCGAAGATTAAGGATCTCTTAAGCAAGAGATTTGACGGAGATTTCAAATAATTTTAATGAGTCGGGAAATTTGAGAATTGAGGTGGATCGAAGGGCATAGAGAATTTTAGGAATGTAGTAAAAGTATTTGAGGAGAAAAAAAGCTTGATGAGTGGGAGAAACTTAGAGATGTTTTTGAAATGAAGTAAGCTGGATGATACATTAGTGAAGAAGTGATTGATGGATTCTAGACCACCGACTGGAGAGCCGAGATGACTAAGGGATGAGAGTTCGGTTGTGTGGAAGTTGTGGGTGAATGGGATGGAGCAATGAAATGCAGTTTTTTGTTCGTTGAGTGAGAGACCGATAGTATGGGAATGCGTTTTGATGATGGTGAGTGCCTTAGCAACCTCGTTAGCGGGATCGCAGAGTATTCCGGCGTCAATGTACCAAGTATGCAGTGGAAGATTGCAGTCGGAAGAAATGTTTTTGACCATTTCGTTGATTCCAATGCAGAAAAGTATCGAACCCAGAGGATCGCCTTGTTGGATTCCTTCTGATGATGAAAGTAAATAGTTGTTGAATTGGAGATGAGATGGCATTGAATAGCAGGAATGGAAGAATTGGGAAAAGGTGGGGAATGAGTGGTACATTTGTGGGAGAAAGTGAGAGCTGCGAATGGAGTCGAAGGCGTTAGAGAAATCAATTTTAACGAGGATTTCGTTACTTGGATTTGTTTGGAGATGGATACGAGTAGCGTGTGTGGCTATTACGCAGCCACCTTGGATGCCGATTCCTAGTTTGTGAGGTGCTAAAATTAAGGCTGCGTTGTCCTTAATTTTGTAAGATATTAGTTTAGCGACAAATGGCGGAATACGGTTCCGATTGCTATTGGGCGGATATGCTAATTGAATTTTTCGAGTGCGATTAGTTTAGCACCGAATAAGAGTGATTTGATGGACTCGGGAACGAGTCCGTGTGCTATTTTGTTACAAAATGTATTTAAATTTTGTAAAATTGGGACCTGGCTGACTATGAGGGGGGATGTAAGATCCTGGAGGAAGATGGGACGAAGCCCATCGTAGCCGGGAGAAGAGTCGGGGAAAGATAGAATAGATTTACGCACCTCGGCGGGGGTGAAATCAGTAGGAAAAATATTGGGATGAAATCAACTCCGGAGGGGTGCTTTAATTTGAGTTTGTTGAAACTTTCTTCGTTACTAGTAGCAAATGAATCATCAGATACTACTAAGCGAAGGGCGGATTTGATATTTAGGTTGTTAATTTTGTTGGAAATTAACTTTGCCTTTAATTGTAGGCTGGAAAGTTTTTTGGATTCATGAGAAGATATTGTGGCTGTGAAAGATTTCTGAATCTCTGGATTGGGAGGTTGGAGAGTCTTGAAGGAAAATTTGAAGAGTTTAAGCCAATGATCGAGAGAGGAGAAATTATTTAATAATGATTGAAGGCATGTGGAGAGGGCTTTGGCTACTTGTACTCTGGAACCTTTAGGAATTCTAGAGATATGGGAAGTTTGTCGGATTTTAAGAAGTTGATGATGTCGCCACGAGGAGTAGGTTGGAAGGGAGTAAATGTGTCTAATGTGGTTGGTATGTAGGTGTTATTGGATGAGGTGGAAGAATGGCTGTGAGTAGAAAAAGTGGAAAGGGGATTTAGAAAGGGAGGAGAAGGACGCTTCCCGGGCTCAGGACAAACGATGCCATTAAATTTGTGTTTGGTGAAGAGGCCGGGTTTGATGATTTTTATGTTTTCAGAGCATGCGGGACAGTGTACCATTGTATGGATAAGGTGAGGTTGTGAATTGAGTGAAAAGACTTGTGAAAGAGGGAAGAAATGTCAAAATAATTGTGTGGTGAATGGGGATGTGACAGAGAGTAAGAAATAATCTACAGAGAATAAAGATGTTGTAAAGATAAGGTATTTTAATATGAAAAGGAGAATTGGCATAAAGATTGCCGGGGTTAGTTGGTGTTTGAAAAAGGTTGAAAATTTGTTTTACTAAATGTAATGGTTAGAGAAAATAAAAAAATAAAAGATTGAGGAATATATATGAAAGGGGTGAATAAAAAAGAAATATTTTTGGGTATGTTTATGAAAGGGGGAAAAAAAATATATTTTTGAGAATGTTTTCTTTCAGGTATGGGGAAAAAAAGTTTTTTGCAAAGATTAAGGGATGTATAAGAAACATTGAGCGATATAATTGTTGTATTTGCACCGAATTTTGTAAAATATTATTTTACTATAAAATTTTATCAATATAAAAATGGTTGAAATACTATAATACATATTTCTATCAATTAATTGTAGCCCGTTACTAAATTAAAAAATTGAACAACTTACAAAAAATTTTTTTTTTTAAATTAAGAAGAATATGATAAAAGTTCAATTTTTACCGCATTTGCAAGTCATACATCCATTATCATCCAATTGGTAACCATTTGGGCAAAAAGGACACTTTAGTTTAATTTTAGGGCAATCTTGTGAATAGGATAAAAATTCATATAATGTATAATTTATAAAAAATAAGTTAAATTTAAAACCTATCATCACAATCGAAAATTATTTTAGACCAAACAACCCAAAGAAAATCTCTTTTTTTAATGAACAAACATCTGCTACTGCATCACTCTATCTACTTAAGTGTTTATCTCTTCCATCTAATAGCTTGTTCTATGACTCACATTCCTTATTCTCTCCACTAGATTCTTTTTGCTACTTTTCTCGATATTTTATTAAACTTCTTCTATTGTTTTTCATAGTTTTATTATAATACAACATATGGTGCATTTACTAAAAAATATTGATTGCGTAGAGCCCGACTGAATTCGTAAAAGCTGGGGTAAAAGATAAGGAAAGGAAAACATTAAGATATTTCAGATGGTTAGAGCCACAGTGGGGTGCATCGAAGAAAAAAAGTAAAAGCATCGATGATAATTAGAAAGGTGAAAAGAGGTGAGAAATAGAGAGATTTGGCACTTAATACACGAGAGTATAGAGGAATAACTCAAATGAATGAATAAAATTCTGATCATTCTTTAATGAACGACAACAGAACTAGATAAAGAAGACTGATAATAATCATTTTAGCCAAAAATAACATTTTAATAAAAATGAGAATTAATATACTGCAACGGCAGGTTCTACATCCATTTTGATCGACTTGATTGCCATTAGCACACTCCTTACATTTAAAAAGGGGACAATCTTGAAAAATATATTATATAATATTTTTTATATTTATAACTTGATTTATGCAAATTTTATCAAGATTCTGTATAGTAAGCTTTATATTTATAATTTATAAAGAGGTGAGCAAATCTTAAGGTTATTAAGGCTGACATTATTTTTGACCAAACATCATGATAATCAAACAAATAGGTTTTATTATCGATGATTTTACAATAAAATAATTCTAATAAAATATGAAATATTACCGCATTGGCAAGTTTTACATCCGTTTTCATCGACTTTATTACCATGTATACATTCTTTGCAACCTAACTGGAAGCAATCTTTTAAGATTTATATAAATTTATAAAATTTTAATGATTTTAAAAGTTTTAAAGTTCAATAATGTCAAAATATCTTTTAAATGTGCTACAAAATCTTAAATTTGTCTGACTATATATAAATATAATTATCTAACTTTCACACGATCTAATATAGCAGGCTTAATTTTAACAAAATACTTTATTTTTATATAATTATAGGTGTATATTAACTGCAACGGCAGGTTCTACATCCATTTTCATCGATTTGATTGCCATTAGCACACTCCCTACATTTAAAAAGGGGACAATCTTGAAAAATTTATTTTATAATATTTTTTATATTTATAACTTGATTTATGCAAATTTTATCAAGATTCTGTATAGTAAGCTTTATATTTATAATCTATAAAGAAGTGAGCAAATCTTAAGGTTATTAAGGCTGACATTATTTTTGACCAAACATCATGATAATCAAACAAATAGGTTTTATTATCGATGATTTTACAATGAAATAATTCTAATAAAATATGAAATATTACCGCATTGGCAAGTTTTACATCCGTTTTCATCGACTTTATTACCATGTATACATTCTTTGCAACCTAACTGGAAGCAATCTTTGAAGATTTATATAAATTTATAAAATTTTAATGATTTTAAAAGTTTTGAAGTTCAATAATATCAAAATTTCTTTTAAATGTGCTACAAAATCTTAAATTTGTCTGACTATATATAAATATAATTATCTAACTTTCACACGATCATATATAACAGGCTTAATTTTAACAAAATACTTTATTTTTATATAATTATAGGTGTATATTAACTGCAACGGCAGGTTCTACATCCATTTTCATCGACTTGATAACCATTTGAACATTCCTTACTACATTTTAGCAGAGGGCAATCTTGAAAGATTTTATTTGAAAGTTATTTATTTTTTTTAGGTTATATATAGTGGTTATGAACGTTATATTTATCTTATTCTCAATATTAAGAGATCCATTTCATTATAATAAATCATTAGCTATTCCAGCTGATACTATAATGAATAAAAAAGAGACCCACAAAGAGTGACCTTTTCCCATATTTTGGGTGGAGATGGGCGGGCGAATTAATCTTTTTCAAAGTTTAGGTGAAGAACGGGTGGTTTAGATATCAATATAAAAGTATTATAAAACAAACGTTGGTGGGGGTTGTTTACGCCGATGTTAGTAATAGCATTATTTATTGTTTATTTGAGTTTTAAAAAATTATCAAACGTGCAATCTGAAGGCTATTATGCATATAAAATTACTTTAACACAGCTATTATAATCTATCGTACATTAAAAAAATAATTTAGGTCGATGCGCCTTTTCACTTGGTTACTTATATTTCCGCTTAAATAAATTACATGAAAATTCTATAAAAAAATTATATTAAATGCAGAGTTTTATTTATAGAAATATGGAAAACCAAATAGGCGTGACACCACTATCTTATTTATATTCAGCTATGCTTATAAATCATTTTAATGAATGAATCATTAGTCAATGTAAGCATATGTCATTGATCGGCATATTTAGAAAAACATTTAATTATATCTGAAAAGTGATTTGCTTGGTGGAACACGAGGCCTTATCCAGTTATTAATCAAATTGAACGGAACGAATTTAGCGTATTAACGGATAAAAAGAAAAAATCATGTTGTTTAATCAAAATCATATAAATTTAAGAATTAAATATATTTACCTAAAGGTTCGCTGATTGTTGTGTAGTTTTGGCAAAAGTAGTTGGAAAGAATGGAGCAGAATATTAAAAATATCAACATCATTTTAGAAAATAATTTTGATAAGTAAAATTTTGTTGATTTTAAAATTTTTATATCATCCTAATTATAAAAATCAAAATGTAAAATAATACGGTTTTTTTTGAAACCTATTTTGAATATAACTATTTTACAAATTATTTTATAAATGGCCTTGAGGTATAATAAGACTAAATAAAAATTACTGTAATTTAATCTGATTTTTCATGGCGAATTATAATAAGATGTGGATCAAGTCCAAACCTCAATTTATGGCAGTTAAATATTTTATGTTTTGAGCTAGATAACTAATAGATAACCGGATTTTAAAAAAAATTGTATTTTAAATGACATGCCAATTAATAACTTTATCAAATTTTGTCGTTATAAATAACTAGTTTGTCATATAGTAGATGTTACTCTAAAAGACCAAACCTTAAATTATGGCAGTTAAATATTTATATGTTATGAGCTTGATAACTATAAAGATAACCGGATTTTTAAAAAAAAATTTATATTGTAAATGTTATCAAATTTTTGACTTGTCGTTAATAACTTTTTTATCATGAAGTAGAAGCATATATTATTAATTATTTAAATATAAATTTTGGTAAAAGAAAAATTTTAAATAATTAATTTTTAATATTTTGTAAAAAAAAATAATATATGTTATTTCTATATTTTATCTGGTTATGCTAGGGTTTTATCGCTTTCGGAGAAAAAAATTATTCTATTCAAAATGTTAAAAGCAGTAAAACATTCTTATATGTTAGCAAAAATGTTCCGGCAATGTGTTAACTTTAAATCATTTTTTGAGCGAGTTTTTTTTAAATTTAAGACTCCCAATTTATCAGAAATGTAATCTATATTGGAATATCTACTCTATGAATTTCATATAATTTTGCCATAAATTTTTGAAATTAATATAACTATTTTTTATATTGACTCAAAGTATGGCAAAATTCTCTACAATTCATAAGACAGATATTCTAAACATGCTGGAATACATTTCCGGTAATATCATTTTTAATTTATTTAAAAAAACGCTCAAAAAATGATTTAAAGTTAACAAAAACAACACATTGCCGGAAAAAACACATTATATATTATTTTTTTCAAATTTAAATCAATTTTGAGCTCATTTTTTCTAAAAATCTGATTTTATTGGAAATGTATTCCTACATGTTTAGAATACCTATTCAAAAAAATTTGTTCTTAACCTTTTAACCATTTATAATTTATATAAAATCTATAAAACTAATATAAATTATATTTAAGATTAAATTAATATATATTTTTAATGAAATCACATGTACATTATATTCGAGAAAATATATAGTTATAAATATTATAAAATTTATATAACGCGATTAAAATTATATAAAATATATTCTAATCATCATGTGAGATGAGGCTGCCAATGAAGCTGATGTAATTAGCCCTGTGAATTGCTATTGCGAGTCTTTGTTAAGAAGAAGCCTTCACGAGGTTCATCTGTTAGTTTGCGGATTAGCGATCCAAGTTCCTTGAAGAAAGAAAGAGCACGATTCCCAAAGGTAGTCAAGGTAGTGGAAATGATGGGAATAAATAAGTGATCTTGGGATATCTCTGAATATTTTGCAATTTTTAGAAGCTCATTGTCTCCAGAATGTTAAGGGATTGATTGGAAGGAGCCAATGGATCAATACAAGAGTAATCCCAGACCAAGAATTGACCTCACTTCCAGGGAATTTGAGAGATCCCGTCAGGGCGTTTCCCATCAGATATGAAAAGACCAGAGGGTTCGAGAATAGAAGGAATTTGAGCGGATCTCAGAGCTCTAAGAATTATAGAATTGCAAATGTTATGTCTAACGATGCGGCCTTTACATGAACGACAATGTAGACTATGCCTTCCATTACTCAAAACAGCAGAACTGCAGCCGGCACAGATGTGGGGTTAGGTACTAAGCAATTTAAACGGATGCCTATAGCATAGTTTAAAAACCCATGTGCAAAATTTCGATTATGCCAAAAAATTATTTGAAAAAATAACATATTTAATAAAAATACATATTGTCGCTAACATAATATGGGCATAGATATTGGTATTAACATAGACTGCTCAACAATTAAAAAAACGTGTTTAAAATAATCGACATTTGCAAAATAGCAACCTTGTTTTTATGATAATTTTATCTTTATTATTAAAAGGATAAAGTGGGCAGTACAAGAATACTAAGTAGTTTAAAGGTAGTCCCCATTAAGACTAAGTTAATTGTAAACAGACTTTGGTGTGGGCACACAATGAGAAGGCCTATGAACTACATAGGAAATAAGGTTGAGAGTTTGGAAGTGATGGCAAATGTAAAAGAGGAAGACCAAAATTTCAATGGGGCCATAAAGTAGAGCCAATATAAAGAAGTATAAATTAGAAGAGATTGTATGAATAACATAAAGTGGAGAGAGATATTGAAGGAGCTTACCGCCAAAAAAGGTGAAAGCCAAAGAGAGAAAAAAAAAATTATTAAAAGTAAACATATGATATAATTTTAACTGATAGTTATTTATATAATTGTACATAAAATATTTTTCTATAATATAAAGTGAATAGATTTAAATAATGATATAGATTAGTGATCATAAATTTACGGGAAAATCAATTTAATTCATACAGAAATTAAAGAAAAAAAATATATATCAGAATCGCAAATATAAATGAGAAAAAAAGGTACATATATTTCATAATTTGAGGAGAAGAAAAAAATTAGAAACAATGAAGAGAAGGGGAAAAGATCTAGCTCATTTTGGCTTCTCGGAAAATGAACCCATGAATCATATGAAATTATATTTAATAATCTGGATTTCTCTGCGTTTACTTAAGTTGACGCCTTCTTTTGGGTCTCCTGATTTAATCCTTATGGCTCTGCCAAGCCTTTTATTTAGGTTAAGAGCCTAGATTCCAAATGTTAACAACTGATACGAATTTATATTCATCAGGAATGCCCATTTATTTTATATTTTAAAGTTCTTTGTGCATTTTAGGATGAGTTTATTGATATTAGAGGGTGAGAGGGAGTCAACGCAGAACCCATGCAATCCTCCCATCAGTGAAGAGACCCAGGAATTATTAAGTGTCAGTGCGGTAAGACCCGTTGAATGAGAGCATTGCATCTGATATGCCAGATTGAGTCCACTGTTAAAGATAGAATACATGGGAGGCAATGATCGCCAGTTAGGAATACTGGCTTCTTGCACCGTCGTACTCATATGAGACTGGAGCTGTAACATTTAAGCGAATGCCCACTACAAATTTGAATTCTTGGTTTGACAACTCGAGGTCAAATTTTTTAGAGGAAATGGCGTCTAAGTATTTATATCCAGAACTTGGTTGAGAGAGGATAATAGGGTTTTTCATATAGCAGGATCGAAAAGAGGTAATCAAAGAGATTTGTAATCATTGGATTATCCCAAACCTTTTATTTTTGGAAGGCTGGTGGTTGACATTCATCACCGACTGAGGCTTTCTATAACATATGGGCTTCTTCGATCAGCGCTTCTGGCAAGAATTGTCATATATGAGGTGATGAATAGAAAGAAAGGAGAAATGGGAATTGGGAACCAGACATTCATTCATTATTATTATTAGCATTGTTTATTAGCATTGTTTATTATTATTATTTTTTAGTTAATTTATATATTATTTTATATACATGAAGATATTAGTATAATTATATTTGAATTATTTTGTGAGGGTCCTTGTTGCCGCGTTTAAATTTTGTGAGTTCCAATTTTGCGTGGTTTTAGCAATAGTAAGGTTAAGTTAGATAAGGAATCTGTTTAACATTGTGTATTATATTTTGATAGGAAGAAAAAATCTTTGAAGATTTGATCGCTGGACAATAAATTGTCTTCCCGAAGAATTTTTTAAACGAGAATTTATTTTTTGACCAATGCAAAATAATTAAATATAGAATTTAAATAAATTCAATAATTACGTCAAAATAAAAGACTTTGGAGCCGGAAAAGGATTGGAAAAGAACCTGAGAAACTCTCTTGATGTAATTCAAATTCGAAAGAAGTAGAAGATTAAAAATATTTCTTCTAAAAATGTATTCTTCCTGAACGAGACAGAGTTTAATATATTTCGTACTATGGATGGGCACCCTTGCGAAAAATGCCATCTGTTAAGTTACCTCCCTCCAAGGGAAAAAATATATCAGTCCTATGCACAATAGGAATGAGTGGAGAAATTCACAACTATAGATGGGACGGCTTTCAGTTTTACTGTCATAAGAGTCAAAATATGTTTACCATCGAATTCATTGCTAATAATGGATAATGCTCTTATGGAGCGAGAATAATTAGTGAAAATTATCCAAATATCATATTTTTACCACTTATTCGCCACAATCATATCCGATCGAAAATTTTACTGATTTCTTAAAAATTAATACCGATCAAATTATCCTATTATTAATTGAATATAAGTTATTGCTAATGTTACGCATATTTTAACCAGTTATTTATGGTTCCACGTTAATTCGGCGCCGAAAATTCGGTGCACGACAATTCGGCGCGGCGTCAATTCAGCGCGGCGACAATTTAGCGCAGCGTCAATTCGGTTCGGCGACAATTCAGCGCGTATCTATTACAGTTGCAATTTATTATATATTACTTAGTATAAAAAAATAAGGATTATTAAATAGAAATCATTTTGAATGTTGGTCCTATTAATTATTTCTCAATATTTATTTTTACAAAAATCTCAATTTTATTTACTAAATGTATATCGAAAAAAAATTAACTAATATTTATACCTATTTCTTTAATGGACCATTTTACCACATTATAAGGTATGTTGATTAGTAGCCAATATTATGTAAGCCTGGAGATTTATTTAAAAAATTTTATATAAATAACTGCTTAAAATAGCGTAACATTAGGAATAACTCCTATTCACTTAATTGATAATTAATTGATAGGTATTAATTTTTAAGAAATCAGAAAAAAATTTCAATCGGATATGATTGTGGCGAATAAGTGGTAAAAATATGATATAATTTTTTTACTATTCGGAAGGTTATTTAACCATATAAGAATGTTTTTTTATCACAAAATTTTGATCATTTTAAGGTTAAATATTTCTTATGTTTAATAAAAAAAAAATTATTTTTTATTTAAATCGCATATAAATATAAATTGCAATATATTACATTTTTCCAAAAGATATAATAAAAAAAATTAATTAATTAATGTTTAATTTATATTTTAATAAATTAAACAATTTTTATTAATAATATAATATGAGAAAATAAAGTAACAAGAAAAATTCCGCAAGATGGACTATTTTAAAAATTTAATTTGTATATTTTTTATTTAACAAAAATAGAGGATTAATTTACAATATATATTTAATAATATAAAATGACATAAATCCATGTAAAAGTTTTTTGATTTTTTTGGTAGAATAGATAAATTGATAAATTACAAAATGCAAAAAAATTTAAAAATAACCCCACATAATTGATGAAAACATAAAAGTTTATAAAAAAAATAATAAAATATGTTTTATATAATGAAAATAAAAATTATTGGCCTAAAATTATTATTTTTTATTTAATTTACTTCTAATATTTATTTTTAAATTTTAGCTTTCTTTTCTCACAATATGATGAAATAAAATGTTTTCATATCTAGTAACTATGACTTTAATTAATATTTGGAAATGACTAAGGGATCCTAATTTCTGATCTAGCATATGCTGCTTAAAAAAATTCTCTTTTAACTGCATGGGTCTACTTAGAAGAATTTTATTGTTAATTGGAAACCTAAAGATGATAAGCATTTTGATTAAAAGCTATATCCTATAATAAAAAACTGATTAAAAAAAATCCGAGATATAAACATTATATCTGTAAATTATAAATTTGCAAAGAAATATATATGTTAAAAAATAATAATATAATATTTTTACTCATAATGATATCATAAAAATCATCCAGATCTTTAATGCTTTAATTCATTCAAATTAATAATTAAAAAGATATATATATATATATATACTTACAATTAATTAATTGTTATTTTTAAATAGTAATGCATTTTGAATTAATTAGATTCACATGTATAGATTTCATGCGTTTAATCTCTCGATTTTTGAATCATTTAGTGAAAACGATTTTTGAATTTGGAAAATCGGATTTGACCGGAAATATATTTCAGCACATATGGGGTACTTTGAATTTTAGACAATTTTGCCTTAAACTTTTAAACCACCTTTAAATTATATTCATTTTTAGATAAAAAATTTTTATACAAATTGATCAATACAGACCAAATTTAATGGCGAAGATTGTCTACACAGTGTAGTTAACTGCACATTTGCCAATACATTTCCGGTACATATTTTTGAATTCAAAAAATTATTGATAAATGAGATGCATAGAAATATTTTGCTTGGATTTAATTTTCAGGGATGGACCCATGACCGATGAAAATGGTTGTAGGACTTGCCAATGAAGTATATCTGAATTAATCATCTAACAAAAACGAATAATGAATGTTTTTTTAGAGGTGTATGATTCATACTACACATTTTATTGTGAACATGGTTTTATAAAAGATGAAATGGGGAACTCGAAATGTGAAGGCTGTAAATTATATTTCTACTTTTTTTTTAAAAAAATTTATAGTCAAGTTTAGGAAAATTGTATCAAAATAAATTGTTTTGTTAGTCCCAGCTTACCTACCAAACGAATTACAAATGTAGTGAAACTAATTAGTTCGTTTGTCCAAACGTTTTAAAAAGAAAATTCGTATTTTTGATATATTGATTGTTTTTTTTAATGGAAACATCTTAGTATTTTCCGGGTAGTCTTAACCTACTTATTATTAGAAGACCAAGAAGTCATAAAAGAGAAAGAGGACAAATGAAATTTATTTATTAAGACATATATATTTTTTGTTTTCTACTCGATCTTTCAAGATATGTATAAAAGATACGAAGGCCAACTCAAAATAAATGTGCTTATTTTAAATGTACGAAAAACATGATTTCAAAATTTAATTTTGCTCGAAAATTCGTAACTAATTTTAGTTATGAAATTTGGTTACTCGATTTTAATAACATAAAATGACAAACTTCGTAACTAATTTAGAGAAGCTAGGGCAAAGAATTATAGATTATACTATATATTTAAAAAATCGACAATATGTGAGTTTCCCATTATAGTTGGATTATTCCTCTATTTTTAGCCTGAAGAAAAATCATCACCTAAGCCTTGGATCTTTTCATTTAAACATAGTCAAACTTTGAATAAAGCATTAATAGATAACTCGCGTCTCGAGGCTTATCTGATCCTCTATTTGCTGGTAGAATAAGAAGAATTAGCAGATTTTTAGTCAGCAATCCAATTATAACTTCTTTTATACTCATATATAAAAAGTATATTAAATAATTTTATAAGATTGTCAATTTTTTCATTAAGAAAATCTTTACCCCAATGGGTATGCCGTAGATTCTAGTGAGTAAGTTAGAAATATTTTTTATATTTTTTTAAAAAAAATAATATTAATTTTATATAAAATTTAAAAATATGAATTTTTGTTACGCAGAAGAAATTTATTGATTGATTTTAGTGCAAGCCTTGTTTTTTTCAAAAGAAATTATGAGATAACCGAATTAATCTATGTTTTTTCAAATATTTATTTATTACAAAATCATTTATAAATTACACTTTAACAATTATATATATCAATATCATGAATCAAAATAATTTTGTGTTGTAAACGAACGAGTTCAAAATGAACGCATTCGTGAACGAAGTTCGTTTTTTAGAAAAAAACGATGAACGGCGTTCCTTTTATTTTTTACGGACTTTGAACATGAATGCGTTCCTTTTTTATGACGAACGCGTTCGAATTTAACGTTCGTTCAATTTTAAAAATATTTTTATTTATTTGAATTTAATATTTCCGAATTTTTTTAAAAAATGTATTATTTATATTTTTTACGGCTGTGTATTTCTTTTTCACAATTCAATTTTTTTAACACATAGTTTATTAATTTGAATATTATTGTTTATATTTTAATTTAATAGGTTAGCATAAGCATGGATATTATTATTTAATCCTCATCATCTGATTCTGAAAATCCAAAACCAGATGAATTATCATTACTATGGCCAAATATGATAAATGTTTTACATTAACATCCTATATAGAAGGAACTAATCCAATGCTTACCAAGTGTAAAATGTGGCAAAAAGTATTATATTGTCAAAATCTTCAGATTCCAATTTAAAACGACTTTTAATATTAATTATTTGATTTTATATGATATAACTAAGTTAAATCATTAAATTTGAAGAAATAATGCATTTGGGATATTTGACCCCAACAATAACGATAGTTATTTTAAAATTAAAAATACTAGTGGCCTCAAAGGTCAACCATTGATAGACGCTATATTATATGGGATTAATAAAAGGTATTAAACCTATTACTCTCAATTAATTACATATATTTTATTTGTTTAAAGATTTGAACATATATATAAGGATCAATATGTTCTTTCTGCAATTATCCAGCATTCAAACTTCAATGGCCATGGAGCCCTTCGATTTACAAAATGACTCAAATTTCGTAATTATTTTTACAATCTACCATAATTGTACTTATTAATTAATTTTTTTAAAAAAAGATATTTTATATTTCCATGTTTTAAAAAGAATATCCATTATGCAAAAGTTGTATTGAATTCAAAAAGCGAAAGTATAACCAAGGATTATATAAATTTATTTTAGTTTTTTTTATTTGGGGGGGGGTGGGGGGGGGGGGTAAAAATGTATTTTTTTTATAAGCAGTAGATAGAAGCCGTCCATTCTACCCCCCCCCCCACCCCCTATAAATTTTTAGATCATTTAGACATATAAATAAGAGCATTTTTGAGGTTTTGATCAAGTTCCGATTTAATTTTAATCAGTGGTTAATAATAATAATAAAAATATAGATATTTCCGCAGCGTTAAATATGCTGAAATTTATGTTTACTACGCTGGAAAATAAATCTGCAATCAAAAAATGAGCTATGAGTAGGGTGACTTATCAGATCCTAAAACAATAATATCTAGCATAGAAACTTAGAAGAAAACTTTCTCCTTATTATATACATATTTAAAAGAAGTTACTTTTGAATTGGTGCTAATTTTGCTTTGCGTTTTTTTTTTCAAATATAATATATTTTACATGGTGAAAAATTTTGATTTTGCATTTTTCAAAAAAAATATTACTTTCTCTAATTTAAAAAAGATATACGCATATTTTTTTAAAAAAAGGACTTCCCAAAACGCGAACGCTTTATTGGAAGCATGATGATTAGTCCTTAGTGAACAACAGGATACACAAAGAATTAACTATGAGACTTTTATTTTAAATAAATATTAAATATGAAAAATATGTCTTATCAAAAAAAATCGTAATAAATCTAGTGTAAAAAATAATTCATATAAAAATGGTTATACAAATAAGCGTAAAATCATGTAAAATTAAAAAAAAATATTTAACAATTTAAAAATAATTTTGGGGAAAAAAGATAATAATTTCCGATTTGATGATTGTAGTTTTGCGAGATCTAAAAAAACCATTCTTTTTGAAGAGTATCAATTTGTCCAATAGGACTTTTCATTATGGCAGTGTCGGCATCGATGGAATCTTTAGCACCTATATATATATTCAGATAATAAATTTACTGAATTATAAATTTATTTGTTTTTTTAAATATTTCGCAATTTAAAATATATTTTTATAAAACCAGCTTAAAACAAAAAAATATTATTACATATTGAAAAATAATTAATTTTCCCCTTCCCTGTAAGTCACATCAATCATACATTTTTAGATTTATATTTAAAAATGGACTCGTTGGGGGGATCAGTGGATATTTTTCGAAGCAAGCAAATAATCGGTAAAATTTATGAATCTAAATTTGCTCGCTTTTTGGAAAAACCCAGCGATGCCGATGAGCGTTTACTATAAGCGAGACCTAATATACGATGGAATTTTTTGTTTAATAAATTTATATTTTCATAAAATAATAAGAGGATTCGTAAAAATAATCAAGTAATTGAAAATCTGGGTTGGACTCAAACGGGCTGTACCGAGGAATGGATTTTTTTTTAAAACCCGAGTACCTCGCAGGTCTCTGATATATACGGCTGACCGTGCTATGTCCATTGAAATAAATCTTATCAGGAGATTCATTTTGTTAGAATTATATGATTATATTATAACTCCATTGAAAAACTGCGAAAAAATCGATTTAAAAAAAGTGTATTTAGAACTTTATAGCTGATTTTAGTAAAATACAATTGAGAGGTACTATGTTTATGGGTAAATCTATAAATGACTATAAAAAAGTATTGTTAAACCATAAATTTAAACATTTCAGTAAATATGGTATTGTTTGTAACACCTTATACAACGTAATAAAATCTGAATATCATCTCTTTCAATATATCTGGTATTATACTTTTTAAAAAACATTCCTTTTTAGTCAAAAATATATGTATATATATAATTATTTTATTTGAATATAGTCGTGCATTGTACTTGATTCGATTTTAGTTTGAGCATTCTGGCTCAAAAAATAGCCTATGACCAATGTTAGAATTGAAAAGGAGATAAATTTAGATAAATGGAGTTAGAAATTAGCATAGATTTGAATTTTAAAAGCAAAAACTAAATAGTTATTTTTTGAATATCTTATAACCAGAAAATCACATTCAAAAACAATATAAAATCAAAACAAAACTATTGTTTAACTTATCAGCCCTATTTTCTGAGCAAATTTGATATTATTTCAAGAATTCCTTAATTTATGTAAAAATGTTGGTAAAGCTAAAGGCCATAATTTAGTTTTCTTTATCTTATGTACTATAACTGACGAAACTCCAAGCTACCTTTTTCCTAGTCATCATTATTTTCGTATTTTTTTTATGATAGGTTAAACAAATAGGATTCTATAATAGATAAAAGAAATTGAGATAGGTTAATTTTATCACTAAGCTGAATTATTTTGAGGTTATTTGAATGTAAAAGGGAGTAGGTGACCCCTAAATATAATAATTTGGCCATTAACTCACTGTTGACCAAAAGTGGACATAGAAACCTAAAGCAGCCGTATCTATATCATTGAAATATAAAAAAACAGGATTAGGAGGTAGAAAGCAATTACCGGCGTCTTCTTGCGTTAAATAATCTCCCTTGTGCCTAGTGTAAAATTTGGCTACGAAATATACCACGAACATTGAAACTATTACTATTAGGATTGCGAGAGCTTATATAAAAAATATAAATTGATTTTAAAAAAGTGTTTATAAAATTTGGGCTGAAAAATTTCTATAAAAAAATGAGTATCATACACTAAAAACTTTTTGTCAAAACAAATTTTAAGACCCGAAGAAATTCCGCGAGATGATACGAAGGCGTAACACGTTCCCCCCCCCAGAACCCCCGTGGTGGTAAAAGCATTTTGAAGATTCAAGTTCCACATACTTTTTTGCCTTAAAAGGGGGGGGGGGCAGTGGTACACCATTTCTATAATCATCAAATTTTATCATAAAACAACTTTTAATATACCTTAGAAACATTGTCAAATGAGAATAAAGATTTTTGTGTAAACTAACCAATTATAGTCGCCATCTTAACTCCCACGTATTTAGGAATAGCACGGGCAAACCTCTCGAGTAGTACTTGGCCTTTAACAAAAATAAAATCTTCGGTTTGCGACTCGGCGTTAAAAGGAGTTTCGGGAACTACATTGCACATATCTTCGACTAGCTGATTACGCGAACCGGTAACCAAGACGGACGCAGAACGAAACGAGTTAGAACTTTCGCGAGAGTTGGAAGAGGAAAAAACTTCTTTGAGAGGAAAATGGTCTTCGAATTCCACGCGGGAGATGCAACCAGTAAATCCCTTTCCTGGTGGTGTCGTTTCTAACGTGAAATAAAATGATTTTATTTAGAAAGTGATTTGAAAATATTGATAATATACATTATCGCAAAATATATATATGGGATGTTGGAAAAATATTTTTTCCTATCCAAACAAATAAATTTATTTAAAAAAAATAATAAAGTCAATAAAACAAGATTGATTAGACAAAAAGATGTATAATTTTAAAAATGGACGATATTAAGGTAAACATGAAAATTTGAAAATTAGGATAAAATGTTGGCAAAATTCATAGTTAGACCTCAATTAATGGGCATTGTCGAAAAATAGTAAAAGTAAGGTTTAAGATATAGATTTTGAATTTTTTTTAATTATTAAATATTATATTTCATATTTCAAACAAAATGATGTCATATGCATCAGTTATATTCGTGAAAATGGCAGTTCAAACTTTGTAATTTAAAACACGATCCAAACTATTGACCTTCATTTTCTTTCTTTCTAGAAGAAGGTTTAATGTAGAAACAAATTGTAAATTAATTCAAAAATGTTCTCAAAAAAAATAGGAAACCATTTAGTTTGTTTTAATAAATTACGAAACCCATCAGAAGGTAATTCCCACATTCTCCGTGAGAGCCAGATAGATCTTGAATATATTATTATTATTTCCTAAGATTTGTTTAGTCGAAAAGGGAGTGTTCGGGATTATACTACTTAAGGTATGGACCTTTTTTTTGAGCAGATGAATTCACTTATTTATTGTATATATATATATAATGTAACTTATTAAGAAGGTAAAATATATTCCCGTTTAAATCTATACTTAATATAACAGGAGTTCCCTTTATAAACGGATCATGCCATAACTTAAATCGAACAAGTTTAAAGCCCTAAACTATACCTTACATTTCTAACCAAATAAAATAGGAATTGCCTTATTAATTACGATATAGTGAACTATGTACCATTTCTCCCGATGTAAATAGCCTTGAGATCGTTGAATTTGGTGTCCTGACTGAGTCCGGTTTGGTATTTGGTCCTCTTAGGTTCGTAATCATCTACTTGAAGTTCTATGGTGGAACCTCCATCCCGCCTCCAGACATGTACCTCGTGGAATTGGCCATTAGCGTAAACTTGACGATCATCATTGATCTCTTGGGGCTCGTATCCAAAGTTAAACCTGATTTTGAGGCCACCTTCGATATTATGAAACATTTTAAAATACTTTAATGTTTAATCCGTGTCTTGACTCGTCTTATTTTTTTTTATACTTTAATTCTGTTTAGATTTCAGATTTTGAAATTTTATTTTATTTTAAGTGTCTACTAAATCCAAATATCTTCTTTCCTTTTAATCTGTTTAGAAGAAACTATATAAGACAGCTAAAATAGATCTATTCCGGTGGACAGGGCCTTCGTGTAGATCCCACCCAAGTTTATTCATTAATTATTTTATAATATATGAAATTTTGTTTTGCGGATTTAGAATATAAGATTCCAAAAGGGATGATAAATACAATTCACGTTTTTCTTATGAAATAAAATCAAAAATATTTTGACATAAAATTTTTATAACCGTTATTTTGTAGTTGCAATGATATAAAATCGCCTGAGTAAGAAGTAACTTCGAGCAAAATGCCTTGAAATTCTAAGGTTGAAAAGGCGACTCTCATGTGTTCACTAATAGTAGTCAGCGTCCCTAACTCATTAGGGAATCGATATGTTATCATCATCTCTGAGTTTAAGTGAGCACCCACGTCTTATTATTTTTTTTATCATTCCCAATTATAAAAATATTAAAATGATAATGACTTAGTGTTGTTAACTTTATCCGAGACTTCACTCAAAAAAAAAGAGGGAATCATTAGTACACTCAAGTCGAAGTAAATTGTTTCCGATTAAACTCATTTAATAATTTGAGTGGCTTGGATCAACTTGGATAATTAACAACATTTTATCATGATTTTCCATTACAATAAAATTGTACGTGTTAAACTGGATTCACAGTTGACGAGAATTCGCGGCGAAGTATACAAAATATGTTATAAATATAATTTTACATTCATTTTTGTATACTTCGCCAAGAATTCGTGCCAACTGTGAAAGCAGGGTTAAGCTTATTTAAAGAGTAAATAGTTTAAAAATATTTATTTGTTGGGGGGAGGGGGAATAATGAATAAAAAAAATGGAGACAATTTTCATCGACAAAATTTAAATTTCCATTCTGATCAAAAGTCTATTCTCCCATTCCTAAGCAAATTCAATTCTAAATTCAGTTCAACACAAGTAAAAAATATACCGATTTTATATAATAACAAAATCTTTAATTTTTTTAATAATGCTTATACTTTATTTTACTCAAATTGACAGGTTTAAACTTATAATGAATTCCCTACATTGACAGTTAGCGCGAATTCGCGGTGAAGTATATAAAATATATAAATATGATAATTTTAGCGGTAAGCGGAAAAAAAATCCCCGAAAATAATTTCCCGGAAAAAAATCTCCTGGAAAATAATTCCCCAGAAAAAGAATCCCAGGAAAAAATATCCCCTGGAAGGCATAATATCAGATAGACTAGGTATCCAATTCG